CTCAGCCGCATGTCTGGAGTCATTTTACGAACAAATGGCAATTTTGTTCATTTAGGTTCCCATTAGTTAGCACGAGTATACCAGGTGACAAAAATCTAAGCAAACTAGTTCTGAGCAAAAGGTAGGAATCCATTCTCAGTTCGGTCTTGGAGGGGTGCCTCTGGCTTTAGGTCCAGTTGGCCCCCGAGCTCGCCATGCTGTTGCTGTTGACTCTGCTTCCCTCTGTGCCAGCTGCCCTCTCAGACAGGTGAGGATGGCGGCCACAGGCAGCTCAGGCCTCATTCACTCTTCCTCCAGAGATGTGTTTCAGCCTCAGCACCTCCTGTGTGGTCATACAAGGTTGGGCAATGCTATTTTAGGCAATGTTAAAAAAGATGATAGTTGTTAAAGTTCAGGGATAATGTGAATCCGAAGAGGAATCGAAGAGCCAGCATACCTCACATTCCCTTGGTGCAGCATTATTACCAAGCAGCTCATGGAACTAGTTTTCTTTCGAATATATCTTAGAATGATCTTGGTGGCTCAAGACCATTTAGATCTGAACTTGGGGGCAAGGACAAGTTGGAACCAAGTGGGTTTTTTTTTGTTCTTTTAAATTATTTATTTTTTTGGTATCATTAATATACAGTTACATGAGCAACATTGTGGTTACTAGATACCCCTCATCAAGTCCCCACCACATACCCCATTACAGTCACTGTCCATCAGTGTAGTAAGATGCTATAGAGTCACTACTTGTCTTCTCTGTGCTTTACTGCCTTCCCCATGCACCCCTTCACATTATGTGTGCTAATCGTAATGCCCCGTTTTCCCCCTTTTCCCTCCCTTCCCACCCATCCTCCCCAATCCCTTTCCCTTTGGTAACTGTTAGTCCATTCTTGGGTTCTGTGAATCTGCTACTGTTTTGTTCCTTCAGTTTTTTATTTGTTCTTACACTCCAGCTGCCCTTTCAGAGGCCCATATCTGTCAGGTACCATGCTGTTTGCACAGAGGGAAGCAGAGTCAACAGCAACAGCATGGCGAGCTCAGGGGCCAGCCGGACCTAAAGCCAGAGGCACCCCTCCAAGACCGAACTGAGAATAGGTTCCTACCTTTTGCTCAGAACTAGTTTGCTTAGATTTTTGTCACCTGGTATACTCCTGCTAACTAATGGGAACCTAAATGAACAAAATTGCCGTTTGTTTGTAAAATGATGAATCAAATCATTTAACACTTGACTTTCTCCACTTGGCTTATTTCACTGAACATAATACCCTCTAGCTCCATCCATGTTGTTGCAAATGGTAGGATTTGTTTTCTTTTCGTGGCTGAATAATATTCCATTGTGTATATGTACCACATCTTCTTTATCCATTCATCTCCTGATGAGCACTTAGGTTGCTTCCATTTCTTGACTATTGTAAATAGTGCTGCAATAAACATCGGGGTGCATATGTCTTTTTCAAACTGGGCTCCTGCATTCTTAGGGTGAATTCCTAGGGGTGGATTTCCTGGAACCAAATGTTTTTAAATGTTGATAGACTTGCCAGTTTCCCAAAAGATCTAGAAGGGAAGGAGCCTTGGCTAGGGCAGCTTTGGTTTCTGGCACACGGGCTGCTCTAGGGGACACCGAGGCTGCTCTTGTTCAGTGTGGGCTTCCCTCATTGTCCCTGCTCCTTTGTCCCCAGCACTGGTTTCCCCCGCTCCCACTCTTCTGGAGGGTGGATCACTGGCCTCTCCCCTTCTGGGTCAGCTTGGTTTACAAGGACTTCCTGTGAACTCAGGCTGTCTCCACAATGCTCCAGGCACCACCGTGAGAAGAATCGTGTGCAGTAAGTGCCACATGCCCCTCTGGAAAGATGCCTTGGTGTTAAAAGGCCATAGGGAAAAAGTAGATATCATTTCAAAGCAAAAAATGTGGGGTTTGGAGTCATGGCATCTGTTCCTAACTTCCCTCCTTCCTCTCCGCCAGCCACACTCCTCTCCCGTCAGTCCCCTTTCTTCTTCACCAGATTATATGAAATTTTAGATTTATTAAATTCCTACCTCCAGGGAGCAGATGCAATTAAAGACACACAGGATTTTCTTTTAATTGTGAGAGCAGATTTAAGTCCTTTTCCATCTGTTAGGGGTGCTTTCCCAGCAAAGCCTTATATGGTCATCCCTGTGTCAACCCATATGGAAACTGAGGCATGGTGTCAAAGAATGAAGCGGGACATGGAGCCCAGGCATTGAATGAGCACATCCTGTGTGCCTGGAGATGGAGGGGACGTGGCCCACGACGTGAGGCTGACATTGCTGCAGTGTTACTCTGCAGGTGGGCAGCTGGGGAGAGGTAGGTTTTGGTGTCAGGTAGCTTTTCACTCTCAGCTCGGCCATGCATTTGCAGAGTGCCCCTGGATGACAGTTCTCCCAGACTCAGTTTCCTCATGAAAAAAGGGTAATAGCCACCTGTGAGTGAATAGGAGAGTTGGTGAAAATATGTGCAAACATTGCACAGTTAGTGTGTGGCAGGTGCTCAGAGAATGGCCGTTATTGTGAAAGGCAGCATGGTGTAGGCTAGAGGGAGCACATGTTCTGAAATTAGACAGGTCTGCATTTTAAACCCTATTCCGACATTGAATGGCACTGGTCATGATACTTGTTCTTTCAGCCTTGATTTCTCCATCTGTAAAATGGGGGCATAATAGGTAACTTGCAGGTGTAAAGATGAAGGTTTGAGAAATGTATATAATATGCTTAAAGTACTTGGCATTATGCTTGACACATGGTGCACTTAGTCACTGTCACTTAGCAGGTCCCTGCATCTGTTTGGGAGGTAAGACTGCCCTTCACAGAGGGAGTAACTAGAAAACTGGTAAGAGCCTGTGGAAGTGAATCCCAGCCTGTGGGACTGTGGGAATTTACTGTAAGGGTGTTTAGGGTGGGCTGGAGTATTTGGAGAAGGCCCTGCAGGGAGGAGTTGGACCAGATGGAGGCGGGGCCAAAGCAGTAGAATCCTGCGAGTGACGTTGTCTAAGACCCTGGAAACATGGGACCTTCTGGACCCTTGTGACTCATCCACAATAAACCACTTCTGAACCCTTACACCTCCTGCCTTTCTCCTCCATGCTTGGGAACCACCATTACACATTTCCTCTGCATTTATGTGGCACTTTTGGAAGCCAAATGGAAGTGCTACAGGGAAAGGTGATGAAAACAGGTTTTCACTAAACCTCTGTCTTCCTGCCTGATCAGTAGAGATCAGGCAGGTGTCTTACAACCTGGTGGAATGAACTAGAACTTCTTTTGGATTACTCGGAGTGGGTGGGTGCTCTAAGTCTCATCCACCCGGCATTTTGGAATGCCATTTTGCATCAGGCCATCAGGCTGCCATTTCTCAGGTCTTGGTGGGGAAGGCTGAGTGACAGTGTCATTAGTCAGCGCTTCATTTTCAGACCACCCCAGGTGTAGATACTGGCCCTGCTGCTCCTGCTGTGTGACTTTGAACCTGGTGCTGTCCTCCAAACCTGGGCTTTGTCCTGAGGAGGAGGGCCTTGTCATGTTCTGGGGTGCACTGAACAATGCCAGGATGGGAAGTCATCTGGTGTCACAGTACAGAGGGTGGCTCTGGAGTCTGGAGTCAGAATGGCTGATCCAGGTCCTCAGCCACTGTTTACTAGCTGTCTAGTTTAGTGTAAGGGATCTTACCTTTCTAAGCCTCCATTTTTCCACCTATACAATCAGCAATATCTTTTTCCATGAGATCAATTAGAACAGTGTTATGCTTATACTGAAAGCTCACCTTATAGCCTGCTAGACTTCTCACTCTGAGTTTAAATCAGCAAGGGTTTATTGAGCATGTACTATATATACCTGCCACCCTGCATCCTGACAAATGGGAAAATGCAACGGCTCAATGGGCAGTGGGGGAGGCACCATAGATGGAAGGACACGGGAAGGCCTTTCAAGGAAGCAACACTTCAGATGAGGAGGAAGCAGGAACAAGTGTCCAGTAAGAGGGACAACAAATGCAAAACCTGCTGGCTTAGAAGGAACGGAAGTTCATGTGAGCAGAGCCAGTGAGCCGTGGAGAGGTGGGCAGGAGCTAGGACTGGAGAGGGAGGCTGAATACAGGGTCAGAGTAAGGAGTTTGGGCTTTTAGACACCACTTGATGGTATTAAGCATAAGTAATAGGACCTTATTTATTTCAGAAAGATTCTTATGGAGAAAATGATCATTACGGAGCAGAAGTGGAGCTCAGGGCCCAGCTGTCCTGTTTGCTGTAACCTAGGTAGAGCTGTACAAGCTTGAACTGCGGGATGGCAGGAGAGGTAGAAAGCTGGCCATACTGGGGTAGTGGCAGGGCCAGGTGATAGATGAACTGTCTTGGGGTGGTGGGGAGTGGGAGATGGTAAGGAGGAAAAGAAGAATCCTTGTTTGGGGATTTACTGGAGCAGTGGGAGATGGTCTCCATGGATTTGAAGGGTGGTAAATGAAGAACTCTGTTTGAGATGTGTCTTGGGATATTATGAGAATTAAGACTCCTAATAGAGTTTGCAGTTTCTGCTCACTTTTGCATCTTTCCTTCCCTTGGCATTTCCTTCCAGGAGTGGAGTCCAGATAATTCGTCCAGCAGCACTTCTTCCCCCTCTGACCTCCAGGGAGGTGCCACGCTGGGCTCTTTCAGCTCTAGTCTCCAAACCTGCTTGTATTCCTCTGCTGGCTAGGCCTAAGGAGTAGCCATTGGCTTTTATAAAGTTCCAGATGAAGTTAAGGATGGGGTGGGAAGCGGGTAGTGTCTTTAGCCACATCTGTTCAGGGAAGCACCCACCATTTGGAGGAAGGTGTGCATCAGCCACTTCACCCAGCTGCTTGTCCAGAGCAGCAAGGATGGATGGTACTCTTGAAGATGAGTCACATTGGAGGCAGAAGAGCTTTATGACGCAGGCAGTCCTCCAGGCGATGTGACTGACCATGTGGTTAGCCTGAGCCAGGGCAGCATGAGGCTGTGCTGCTCAGCATGTGTTTGTCTTGGCAGCTGGGATGACAGCAGCTCCGTCAGCAGCGGGATCAGTGACACCATAGACAACCTCAGCACTGATGATATCAATACCAGCTCCTCCATCAGCTCCTATGCCAACACTCCTGCCTCCTCTCGCAAAAACCTGGATGTGCAGGTAAGGAACAGGGTCCCCCCGCCCACCAGCCTCCCCCAGAGGCCCCTCCCAGGAGGGAGCCTTGGGGTGTGGGCCACGGGGGCCATCTGGGGTTAGCAGAATCCCCATGTCCATGGTCAAGGCTGCTTGCTGCCTGCAGGGAAAAGGGGTAAGCAGCAGGGTGCTGGAAATGGGGATGGGCAGGCCTCGCCACTCTCCCTGTGCTGACTTAGTGAAATCATGTTTCCTTCCCAGACTTCAGTTCCACAATCTGGTTTTTGTTTCCTTGAAAAAAAAAGGATGTTAGACTTAGTTGGCTATTCTTAGTCTGGAGTGTGTGTCTCATTTTAGCCGCAGTGAGCCACTGCTATCCATGGGCTCGTGCCTGGTCCCTACAGAGTGACGGGGTGGGAGCAAAGATTGAGAACTCTGGACCAGAAGGCAGTATATCCTGACCATAGGCTGGGAACTGTTGAACTGTAGGTCACATCCTGCTGTTGTATTTCCTTTGGCCCATGGCATTATCCTTTTTTTAAACCAGATTCCTTGTCAAAAATTTTTAATTGCATTATTTTACGTGAAAATGAGTATCTGGTTTCTCTTTAAAAATCAGAAGATATTGCCTCCTTAAGCCTACATTCTCCATATGGCAACGATCACCATATATCCAGATGCTCCCCCTTCGGAAAGGGCACGGGTCCCAGTGTGCCACGGCAGCCCCCGCCAGTGCGCCGTTCACATACCTGCCTGACCTCAAAGCACCTGAGTTTCCAACCCCTACCTGGAACTCCCAGATATTATGTTTCGGATATAGTACTACCTTAAATTTGCTTCCAAAGATGTTTCCTGTGGCCACGTTTACTTGCCCTCACAGCATTCTTTAGTGGTCAGAGGGGCTGATTCCAGTAAGCCCATTTTACTCGTGAAAAAGTGAGGAGCCATCCTCATGACTAGTCCCCAGGTTGGTGCTGACCCTACAAACACTAGTCAGCTGTGGTGGCACTGGCTTGTGTGGACCGGAATCTGTTTCATTACGGGGCCTTTCCACCAGAAGGAGTTGCTGCCTCCGGTGAACCCCTGTGAAGGTCTGACTGGCACAGACTGTCTCCCAGAAGGGCTTTGGGGAGGGCAGAACTGACTACTTCCCTTCTTGCCTCCCACATCCTTTTCCTTTCTCAGCCTTCTCTCACTCTGTACAGGTATGAGCTGCTACGGAAGCTTCCTTGCTTTCAAAGATATCTTTTCTTCAAGGACGGGGTTAAATGGAAGATGTCTCTGAGTGGGGGAGTAATTCTGGCCCACAGAAATGTATACACTAGCTCCCTGATGAAACGTGTTAGGTGTTGCCTCTGGGATTATCTGTGACTTCTTACATTTTCACTTTAGCCAGAATGCCTAATTATTGTTGGAGAGTAAGGGTGGATAATGAGAGTTGTTAAAAAACAACAACAACAACAACAAACTACCCAAATAAAATGGGCAGAAAGATTTTGGAGGCGCTGGTAATGTTCTGTATCTTGATTGGAGTGGCAGTTACATAAGTGTGTTAATTTTATAAAATTTATTCAAACTTAATCTTATATACTTAAAATTGTATATTTAGTATATGTTATACCTCCATTAAAAAGTTGGTTTAAAAACCACTAAGCCACACTGCCCAAGAGGGATCACTGTTTAATCAATGACAGGACACAAGTTAGAAGCACCCAGCCAGCCAGTGTCCCTACCTCCTACCACTGGCCAAATGTCACAACATCAACCAGTTTTCCTTTCCTGTGGACACCTTTTTTTTCTTAGACTCTTTCTGATTTCCAGGTAACAATGACAACCAAGCTTCTAGATGTCCTCATATACTAAGGTGGGGAACCACCAAGGGAGAAAGAGAGCCAGAGAGACACATCAGTAAATCAGTAGGTTTCTCTGTTCTTTACCAGTGAGGTAGGAAGAGGCTTGCTCCTAAGATGTCTGTTGAGCCAGCAAAACACTGTTTTGGAACAATCTCTTTGTCTTTGTTCTTCTCCACAAAGCTGAAGTTGGAATCTATTTTCCACATTAATACAGAGTAAGTATTTGTAATCTGGGATTTACAAATGATTTCCTATCTGATATACTTGGATTTGGTTCGTGCCAGGGCACCCTCCTCTTTGGCCAGCTCTTCACTTTGATCTAGCAAATCAGAAAAGATTCAAGAATACTACACAAGCATGTCTTTTGATCAGGATCAGAACATTCATTTCAAGGACCAAAAAGAGTTTAATATTTACTGGGTTGTTTTTTTGCTATAAAGCTACCTTAGTTGAGAACATTTCAATAAAAATCAAGGCAAGTAGGTCTTGGAATAAAATAAGTGCAGACTTGTACCAATAGTTCCTAAGATTCCTAATAAGATGGTTTCTTTGGCATCCCTTTGTTCCTGTCAGGGAGTATCTCCAATATTTGAATCAGCGTAAATCACAGCCTCCTCCTCTCCTCCCCTCTACCAGTCTGAGGAATGCTAAGGGCCATTACTCCTCTCTGAGCAGCATCAGGCAGTGGGAAGATGTGTGCTGACAGCCTTCCCCAGCGCTCGTTCAACTTTCCGCCATATACTGGTTTCCCCTGGATGAATGGGTGTAGCACACAGTGTCCTAGGGAAGGCATGGAGAGACAGGAATAAGCTGCTCAGCCTGTCTACTGGGAAAGCAGGTGGAGGACAGATTGCCTGCCTAGGTTTTTATATTTGCAAAGGATCTGAGTCTCAGCTGAAAGGAAATATATCTAAGGAACAGGGAAGTTACTGTCTGGCAGCCCAAGAAGCAGCCTCATGTGTCTGAGTGAAAGAGGATGTCACGGATAACAGAGGAGTGATCCTTGGGAGATGGAAGTCCCCTTTGTCTGCGAGTGACTGTTTTCCTCAAGAATGTTGAGGAATGGCATGGCACACGTGCCCAGATATCCAGCATCAGTCTTTGCTCACTGCTCCTCAGCGGGCCTGGTAGAGTATCCCTTACTGAAGGTCTGACAGCCTCTTGGTGGACCTTCTCCAGGAGGGCTCGTGAGTCCACTGGGCAGCCAAACCAGGTTGCATTGTCAGAGAGAAGGTGAGGACTTTGAAGTCAGGATTGAGCTCCTAGCTCTGGACATCCTTAGATAAACTAACGGACCTCTCCAAGCCTCTGCCTTCTGGTCCATAAAATACTGACATTAAACTTATCTTGAAGGGTGCCTCCCTCCTCCATTCATGTCACTAACCCAAAGTTGACTGTGTTCTTAATTTATTTTGTTTGGCATTTTGAAGCACTTTATTTTTAGGACAGTGTGTAGGTGACAGAGAACTTTAACAAACATATCTCCTCCTTATATTCATCTGTCCATTGGTGTCCCTGGCCGTTCAATTATCATTCACTTATTTCCTCTCAGTCTGTGGAAGGTTCCATTCCAGGTGCCAAGGTACAAGGGAGTGCACTTCCAAGATTCCTCCCATCTTCATTGCCTATGAAATGTTTAATAAAATACACAGGGGAAAAAGGTAATTCCACATGGGTTTATTTTTTGCTACTCAGGGAAGTAAAATTCTGAATTCTGTGGCAAGGATTCCTATCCTGTGTGACCTTGAGTGTGCCTGGAGTTCTCTGGATGATGGTCTGGATGTAGGGGTAGGGTTTGGGTGTTGGGGGGAGGGGTGCCCCATCTTCCCACCTACTTGGCTGCTATTTGTAACTTTAGGTAGGTTGCTTTTTCTCTTCACATTGTATATTCCTAGTCTGTAAAATATGGATAATACTACAAGCTCAGAGGATTAGATAAGCTAATAATGTATGCACAGGGACACAGCACCTGGCAAGACAAGTGGCAGGTGATCATGCTAATGCTGATCAGTATTTCTGCTATGACGGGGCTTGGATTTCAGCCAGTCCAACATCTTGATCTGCAGGGCATATGGGTATGAATAACAAGAGCAGTGTCCCTGGCTTTGAGAGTCCTGTGGCCCAACAGCAGGAAAGACAAGTACCTATTTCATCCTAAAGCAAGGCAAAAATGGGATAAATACTAAAGGACAACAAAGTGCTGGGGATTTTCAGAGGCAGGAAAGTTGGTGACAGAAGAACCACTGGTTGAGTCCATCCACAGTTAGCTCACTGAGATATCAACTCCTTATGAACCTATTATCATCCCCACTTTATACACAGGTAACCATCTCAGAGAAGGTGAGCCACTTCCTCCAGGGTCACACACAGCCAAGGAGGGACAGCCCCCAGTATTCGAACTCAAGTCAAACTCCAAGCCCCTGCTCTTCCTCCACCTCACTCCACAGGACCCACCGTGGTTCCACCCTCTCCCTCTCAAAAGCCTGCCCTCCCCTTTTTTTCCCTGAGGAAACTGGGCCCTCAGTGGTGAACTCATCTTCCAGGCCCTCTCCCTTTTACGTATGGCTACTTTCCCACATTGCCTTTTGGAAAAAGTGGACTTCCAGGGAAGGGCAATAGGAAAATCCTTCCCAAATCAGGTGCCATTTGAGATGGGAGCTGAGCATGGCATCCAGAGCACAGGGAAGGATTTGGCTCTTGGCATGTCCCCAGGGGGCTGCCCTCAGCCCTTCTGGTGTAAGCCCTGGGGCAGATTAGGAGTTTTTCCTCTTTTGACCCCTGGTGGCACCACCACATGACCTGGCACATAGCGCAGGAAGTCACTGTGGAAATGTGGACTTGATGCCAACAGCGTGTCCTGGCGCAGAGGCCATCTATGCAGAGGAAAGCTGAGAAGACTAGTGCCCTGGACTGGGTTGTGGGGGCTGTGAGGGTTGGGTGATCTTTCTGGACGGGAAATTCAAGCCACAGTCTGGGCCAGGGCCAAGGGGACACTCTGCCACTGGTTAAATCAGAATTCTGGAGGTCCCACCCAGAGGCTTGCCTGGACCTGCTCCAGTACTGAGTAGGGGGGCAGCCAGCCAGCCAGTACAGAAAGGTATTGTATTAGGTGGTGCTGGGCATACAGAAATGGCTCACATGTGAGAAGGCAGTGTGGCAAAGTGGTTAGGATATGGGTTTTGCACTTAGACTCTCTGGAGTCTACATATCTCCACTTCCTCACCGTGTGATCTAGGGCAACTTTCTTTTCCACTGTGTGCCTGTTTTCTCATTTAAAATTGAGAATATGAGCTGTAACTTCCTCGTAGGTTTTGGTGAGGAGTAAATTAAATGATACATGTAAAAGCACTTTAGCCCAGTGCCTGGCACATTGTAAGTGCTTAATAAAATTTGATTGGCACTGCTGTTACTGTTACCACTACAATTTGATTAGGGAAAATAAGTTAAAGGAACATTAAAAGAATAATGAACGTGGCAACCCAGAGGATGTGGTATGTGGTAAGTTTCAGCACCTCTTAGAGGGTATTAGGATGTATCAGAATATATTTGAACATAAGCACTAAGAGGTTAATGATTTGTACTTGTTCTTACTCATTGTGGTGCTCCCAGTACCCATAAGCTTGCCCGGCACATAGTGGTACCCAGTAATTATTTGTTGATTGAAGGTTTCCAAAGCCAAGCTCTTTCCTCTGTCTGGCATGCTCTGAACTCTTAGTGAATTGTTTCTCATTCTTTTGGACACTTCTTCAAAAAGACCTTAGCTGACCACTGTCTCCCACCCCATCATCATCATCTAAATGATGCCAATGCCTGTATTTCTCTCTCAGACTCCTTGTCCTTTTTTTCTTATACATTCTTCATAATTCACAATTGCTCATTTATTTGTATTTATTCAATCTTTGTCTCTTTCACTGGGTCATAAACTCCAGGAGGGACGAGAACCAGTCTTCCCCAGAGATCCTCAGAGCCTCCATGGTGCCTGGCAGACAGCGGGCATTGAGGAAATTCTGGTTGAATGAGTGTACTGGAAGCATGTAGTGGGAACACAGGCTGGGGAAGCTGGGGCAGGGCATGGGTAACGTTAATCTCAGCTCCTCTGTAAAACTGGGGTGAAGGCAATACTACCCAGCTACTTACCCTCCTTGACCAGTGGTCAGGATCAGATGAGATCCCTTTGTTCCAGTGTGCTGTAGCTTCCAAAAGCCTGTGTTCCTTTGTTCACTCATTTCCTCACCATGCCCTGATGGAGCTCCTGCTCTGGGCTCCAGTGTTGGGACCACCTCTGCATCCCTTTCCACAGCTGAATGATGAGCTTCCCACAGCTGGGGTGGGTGTTCTTGTCCTGCTTTCTCGGCTGCCTCTTATCTTGCAGGAGCTCAGTATGTGTCTGAGGAATGACCTCACCAGTGAAAGCACCCTAGGGTGGCATAATGCATGAGTGGGATTAATAAAAGGTGAGGAGCTGAGGGAGAGAGAGAGGCCGAGGTTATGGCAGGGAGGAGCTTGAACTCGGGCTGGTTGTCTGTATTTAGCTTTGTTCATTCAGCCAGGGTATTCCGTGAAGGAAGTCGTTTGTACTGTGCTTGGGTGACAGGCGTTAGGCCAGATTCTTGCCAAGTAATCATTTTGATTTCCTACTCTTGGTAGGCCACTCTTGGTAGTTAAGTATTGCAAATATGGAACTTGTATCTTGTGTAGCCACTTTAAAGTGTTGCTGGCCACCCGTGCTCATCCCGTGCCCGGCTTCTCCCTGCTGGCAGCTCCTCTGATTGGCCCCGGCCCTGGGGGAGGCCCCCCAAGCATTCTGTTAGCTTTATGCTTTTCAACTGTAGAGAATCATTAACATCACACTTCTATCCCTTCCTGGGTTCCAGGGCCAGCAGGTCAGGGCTCTTCTAAAGAAAGCTGGCTAATTATATCCCTCGTCTGCACAAAATCCCACAAGAGGAGCAAAGCAATGGCACATAAATGGAGCTGGGAGGGAGCAGCACCCACTGGCTTGGAACGCTGGGGGGACGTGGCCTTTGAGGATTGTTTTCTCTCAGCCCTTCTCTCTCCCAGATTCGAAGGGAGCTAGCAGCCTTGCTCACTTGGTGTGAGACTGGGGCGCTGTGCTGGATCCAAAGAGCTCACTGCCAGTGTAGTGATAGGGAAGCGGCAGAACAAAGGGAGCAGGCAGGAGGCTGCATGTTGGAGAGAGATTGGGCTGCCCGGGTTGGAGGAGGCTTGTCGCCAAGTGAGAGGTGGTGGCTGCCTTCTCACTGCGGCTGCTCACGGTGCTCCTCCACCGGGCTTTTTCCCTCTTTTTCTCCTTTCTACTTTCCTCCTTCACTCCTTTCTAGCACAGAGCTATATTCTTTACTTGCCTGGAACCAAACAGGCTTTCTAACAAGATACCCAAAGGCCCAACCATTTTAAAGTAATTATTATTTTTCTGAGAACTTACGCATTTATTTATTGGCATTTTTTTTGCTCTGGGGTGAGGGGCTCCCCAGCCTGGGGTTTGGGAAGAACTAATTCTGAGCATTTCTTCCACAGACCGATGCTGAGAAGCACTCGCAGGTGGAGAGAAACTCCCTGTGGTCAGGCGACGATGTCAAGAAGTCAGACGGAGGGTCAGACAGTGGCATAAGGATGGAGCCGAGCTCTAAGTGGAGGCGGAATCCCTCGGATGTGTCTGACGAGTCTGACAAAAGCACATCAGGCAAGAAGAACCCCATCATCTCCCAGACAGGCTCGTGGAGGCGAGGCATGACAGCTCAGGTGGGCATCACCATGCCAAGGACGAAGGCGGCTGCCCCGGCAAGCACGCTCAAGACCCCAGGAACTGGTGAGTGCAAGGCAAGCACCATCTCACATCTGCGCTTGTCGGTTTGAAAACCAAAACCACAGTCACGCTGACGAGGACTTGACCTTGCCTTTAAGTCCCCATAAATGCTCAGGTATTTTTTCTTAGGGTTTAACTCTGCTAATAACGAGCTTTCAGAAAGGTTCACATCCCTCCCTTTTTCCAAGTGGAAAGATGAAAGGGTGCAAGACTTTTAAAACTTGGAAGGGGTTCAGCTGCTAAGGTGTATGCACTGGGTTAAGCATGGGCTGGTTAACAGCTAACACACCCAGTGCAGGCCTTTCAAGGACATGTGTTTACGAGCTATCAGTGTTTGAGTTGATGTTGTCTGTGATTTAGGGATGTATGTAAGCAAGGACAATGTTTTTGCAGGAAGGCAGAGGTACTCCCCCCAAAAATCTTAGGGGCAGCTTTTTAATGGCCAAGAGAGAAAAGGTCAGTAAAAGACAGGATCTCTTTCCCCCAAATATACCAGTTATTGGCTGGCTTTGCTCTGCTCTGGGTAAATTTATACTGCTTTGCAAATGAGCAAAATCATTGTCGTCTCCTAACAGGCTCATGGTGACAGTAGTAGACTAGATTATCTTTATAAAAAGCTCTTTCCTCTGCCTCCCTAGGGTACTTCTCTTTCCGAGGAAAAAGTGAACCAGTTCTTTGGAGGAGGGGGGAATTTTAAACAGATTGAGCTGTATTAGCTGGCTTCTCAGTTTGCAGCTAACCTTGCTGATTTCTCTCTCAGGAAAAACAGACGATGCAAAAGTGTCTGAGAAAGGGAGGCTCTCTCCCAAAGCCTCCCAGGTGAAGCGCTCCCCATCAGACGCAGGCCGCAGCAGTGGTGATGAATCTAAAAAGGCCCTCCCCAGCAGCTCCAGGATGCCCACTGCCAATGCCAACAGCTTTGGGTTCAAGAAACAGAGTGGCTCTTCCGCTGGTCTGGCCATGATCACGGCCAGTGGGGCTGCTGTTACCAGCAGGTCAGCCACATTGGGCAAAATCCCAAAGTCTTCTGCATTTGTGGGTCGGTCTACTGGCCGGAAGACGAGCATGGATGGGACTCAGAATCAGGATGATGGGTATCTGTCTCTCAGCTCGCGGACAAACCTGCAGTACCGGAGTTTGCCAAGGCCCAGCAAGTCCACCAGCCGGAACGGGGCTGGGAACAGGTCTAGTACCAGCAGCATAGACTCCAACATCAGTAGCAAGTCGGCAGGCCTGCCAGTTCCTAAGCTGAGGGAGCCGTCCAAAACTGCCCTGGGCAGCTCTCTGCCGGGTCTGGTCAACCAGACAGATAAGGAGAAAGGCATCTCATCGGACAATGAGAGCGTGGCTTCCTGTAACTCAGTGAAAGTGAACCCGGCAGCCCAGCCTGCATCCAATGTGGCTCAGGCCACTCTCCAGCCAGGGGCCAAGTACCCTGATGTGGCTTCTCCCACACTCCGCAGGTAAGCGGGTAAATGGCACCGAGCAGAAATGGGATACGTGGAATGTTGTCCTAGATTAATAATTTCCTATTTTTTAGTTAAAACAGTTTTTCTCCATTTCAGCCCTCCAGTAAAGCTCTATGGTCAGACCCAGCCAGCAGTTTGCAGTCAACTAATTATTTTCCCATGTTAGGATGAAAAACATAATAGGCCTCTGGAATCAATCATCCTGGGTTTGAATCCTGGGTCCACTTTGATGAGCCACTGTGTAATCTTTCTTAGCAATTCTGCCTCAGTTTACTCCTCTGTAAAGCAGGGATACCTACCTCAGAGTTCTTGTGAAGATCAATCTATGTAGTTATGTCTGGCCCATAATAAGTAATTAATGAAAGTTAGCTACCATCCAAGATGAGATCTTCATACACCCTTAATTTGGGCAGGGTATCTCAGGGGAAGAAGAGTTTTTTAATTTTGTTTTCTTGTGTTGCTAACTTTGTGGTTGATATTCCTCATCATTATGCCAGTGATCCTGGCCAGATCCTCTTCTCAGATAGCCCATTATCCCTCACATACTTTTTTATACTGCATGCATAATTCCAAATTAGTCTATGAAGTTTTAGCTTCCTTTAAAAGAAAACAAAAACTCTTAAATCAGAAGCGTTTCTGAAAGAGAGAAATTGATTTCCTATTCCCTTAAAAAGGCATTTTCTGACATTTCCACAGTAGATGGAAATTTTTACATGAAAATATTATTACCCATTGTTTTTTTTTTTTAAATAGCTTCTTTTAAATTTACCCAACTTCTGCCTGTTCATATTATCTTATAATATCCACTGGACCATATTTAAACTGCAGCTGCCTACAGCAGAGCTCATTCTAGCTTCCCAGGAAATTTTCTTGTCGTAGAAAAAAATAAGTCCCAAGGATGGAAAATTAAGCCGTGAAAACAATAAATGTGTGGTGTGTACATATTTGGGGATGAATAGGAATGTTTGAAAAGACTTCAGAAGAAGCATTCCAGATGAAAGGTGTAATGAGGCAGTTCCCTGTTCTTTGTCTAGACTTGAGTATTAGAATTTCGGTAATGATTTTTTTTTCAGGGGAAGGTCCGATTGGGCTGCTCTTTGTTGTTTTAACAGATTGCCTTGTAAATGAAAGTTTTCTCTGCTTCTTGCCTTAAGTATTACATGTAATATTTATTCTTCAGTATTATAGATTTCCTTTAGTAACTACAAAGGCATTTTACTAGACCCTTAGGCTAGTGTAAGAGAATACTTGAAAATGCATGCAGATTCTTAGATTCTTTGGTGAACAACTTTCAGCCAATTCCTGGTAATTACATTTTCCCTAAATTATTAAGGTGTTCTCAATATTTTCATCGGGTATTAGTACAGAGAAGAGAAATCTTAGGTGAAGTGTGATAGCTCTCTTTAAATGATCTGAAGGACTAACAGACGAAAGATTGGGCTTTCCTGTGTAGTTACACATAGTAGTAGTCGTGAGTAAAAGTGAAGATGATGGATCGGATGTTGGTTTTCTAACAATTGGAATTGCTTAGCAATGGAACAAGTTTGAAGTAGTCAAGTCCCTGTTACTGGAAGCATGTAAGCATTCTAAAGCCAAGATTCTACAATAGAATATTTCATTCGCTGATTATCAGACAAAAAGCATCTCTCATCTGTCACCAGATATTGTGGTGAGTATTGATTGTATGTTCTTATAATAACTGAAATTTGTAAGGATTTTTTGGAGAGGACAGAGATCAAACTCACCCCATAAGCAGCTGGGTGGAAAGGCAACTTGCCTGTCATAATATGTGGTAGTGTCATCACTTTTCAGGGACAGCTGTCCCACAGGGGTTGTGGTGAATGGAACTGCTTGTATTACTAGAGCATGTACCACCCCCTAACCTGACGACAGTTCTGCCATTCTACCAGAGAGCCCTCTGCCCATGGAAACAGGGAGCGTTTGTGCTATTTATTCCCTGTATTCTGACAGCACCTTTTCGGACATGGAATGGCATTTGTGTGTATCTGACACAGAGACACAGTTCCTACCATGTGTCTGGTCTAACATCTTGTGAGCTCAGCAAGACTTCTGTCTGTCTCGTTCAGTAATACGAGCTGTCTGACTCTATGGGACACATCTTTCAGGTTGGGCTTTCACTTGAGGATAAATCTGTGAAGATACTCTTCCCAGACCCCAAATATATCTAGACTCATGTTCTTGATTCTACATGTTGTGCTTAGAGATCAAAGCTACTAAATCCCTTGGAGTTAAACTGTCATAAACTGAGTGCCTGCTTTGTGCCTGGGGTCATGGACACACAGATGATTAAGACAGCTCTTTTCCCTCTAGATGTTCCTGGGCTGGGGCAGCTTTCTAGTTACTCTCTTTATGATAAGAAAGCAAAACAAGATCTTCGACGAGTGTGAATAGGCCCACAGGAAATTTTCTCCATCGCCCTTTGGCTCAGAGTGAGCTGGGATCTCAGCTGCTGGCCTTCCCAGTGGAGTCCCTATAGCCGGTTCAGTGGGAAGGGCTGCGTTCCCATATCTCACCTCTCCCGTACCTGCGCCCCACCCTACTTTAACAGCTCGGTGCCCTTGGCGCTGGTTGTTCAACCCACACAACCCTTCCTTTGTCTCTTCACAGACTCTTTGGTGGGAAGCCTACCAAGCAAGTACCCATGGCCACAGCTGAAAACATGAAAAATTCGGTGGTCATCTCTAACCCTCATGCTGCCTTGACCCCGCAAGGCAACTTGGAGTCCCCCTCGGGCAGTGGCATCCTGAGCAGCGGGAGCAGCAGTCCTCTCTACAGTAAGAATGTGGATCTCAACCAGTCTCCTCTAGCTTCCAGCCCCAGCTCAGCCCACTCAGGCCCCTCCAACAGCCTCACCTGGGGCACCAATGCCAGCAGCTCCTCGGCAGTCAGCAAGGACGGCCTGGGCTTCCAGTCCGTCAGCAGCCTCCACACCAGCTGTGAGTCAATTGACATCTCCCTCAGCAGCGCGGGAGCACTGAGTCACAATTCCTCCACCGGCCTCATCACCTCCTCTAAGGACGAATCCCTGACTCCCTTTGTCAGAACCAACAGCGTGAAGACCACACTGTCCGAAAGGTTGGTGCTGTGCATTTGGCTGCTGGGGTCCCTCAGAAAGACACCCTTCCAGAGGTCAAAAGAATATGTCAGGAATCCCAAATGTTAAAGTCACCTTTGCCTGGGAGATTTTGCTCTTTCTCATACCTGCTGTCTTTCCATGGGGAAGCCAGTCTGAGAGGGAATTAAGCTCAGCTCTGCTTCCTGTTATCTTTTCCATCATGGTTATTCTCAGTGCTTGGAGCTGCTGAGAGTCTCTTCGGGGAAGATTTAATGCTTCCATTTGAAATGGCATTCCATTTTTGGAGTCCTTCCATCTTCCTGTTTGTTCATCAACTGCTTCCTTCCCCTCCCCTTGGAACCGTGCATGCAGAGGAGGTGGTGGGCTGCAGCCCTGGAGGGTGTGGTAGGGTGCTCATTAGGCAGCTGGGTGGATTCAGTGCCCATCACAGCAAACACTACTGAAGGGCTACCAGCCAGAGAGAAAGAAATAGGAAATCAGAGGTGCTAGTGGCATATGTCCAGTTTCTCCACATAGGGAAGAAAGTCAGGCTTAGCACTAGGAATAAGAAAAATGTTCTAATTGTTGTGTGTAATGACCCCTCCCCTTTCTTCCAATCTAATGTTCCTTCTCTTGTTTTCTACCTGCCTGGACTTCTAGCCCTCTCTCTTCCCCTGCTGCTAGCCCTAAGTTCTGCAGAAGTACTCTGCCCAGGAAACAGGACAGGTAATGACACTTGTAGGCGGGAAACCCCACCAAGCCTCTAGGTTCCTCTGCCTTGCTGTTTCAAGCCAGATGTTTTGTGTGAGGCTGTTGGCCTGAAGCTTCTGCTTGTGTTTGTGGCTCTGGTATACCCTGTGACCCCCAGACATGCCAGTGAGGGTCTGTTCTGCCGTCCAGTAAAGCCCCGGAAGAGATGGAGTTCGATGGGCCCTTCCCTTCCCAGCCTGGGAAGGAACCTTAGATCCGGCCACTTGGACTGGGGTGGCAGAAGTCCTCACTTGCATCTCAGCCTTCCTGTAGCATGCTTCTCTGCTTCCCAGCTTCCCACCCTTTCTCCTCTCTCTCCCCTCCCACTCCAAGCCCAGGAGTGATCTACCACCCACCTGCGGCCTCGCCCTCACCTTCGTCTCCACACCCCCCTCCCTACACAGCTGGCTCTTCTCCCTTTCGAAGCCCTTTGCTGCCGTGTGGCTGTACGTCTTGCAGTCCTGTGTGCCCATTTCCTGTACCAATGATGAAAAAGAATATGTGGAGTCTTGACGCTTTACAAACTGAGAGGCTTGTTTGCCCCCAGTTGCCCTCTGGGTGGACCTCAGAGATGGATATTGACCTTAAATTTGTGGGAGAGTCATGCCTTGGCCAAACATAATAAGCAGATGTTGTTCATGCCTCACCCCCGACCCCACAAAAAAAAAAAATTAATGAAAACCCACTTTGCCCCATCAACAGCAAAAGCTTTGTTTTTGTCAGACTCACAGATCAAGCTTTTAAATCCTTGTTCTTTGGAAGTCCAAATGCCTTAACTTTATCAGCCAGCAAGTTGTAACATGCCCTGACGCAGGCCCAGGGCTCAGCTCCTAGCAATACCCAGCAAGGGCTGCAGAAAGTTAAGAGGGACCTGGAATTCACTTTGTTACAGATGAATTCCAAATATGCAGGCTGCTGGCCTCTTGAAACCCTACAAGTCCCTTCTCTGGCTTATAGTCATTACCCGTGGTGTTTGGGGTGAGCCGAGTTAGAGGTGCAAAGACCCTGACATCTGTCTCTGAGAAGCAGTGGTGGTACAGTGATGGGCAGCTGGGTGGCAGAAGGCACGGGTTCTGCTCTGAGGTGGGGCAGCCCCTAGGTTTTGCTTTGAACCTGTGGAACTGGAGGAACAGTTAGGGCTGGGCGGCGCAAGCCTCCTGGTGACTTGAGGTAAACTAGGCACTGGTGTCAGCGCAGGCCAAGGATTGGGGTTCTCGTATTTCCTGAGGACGTGGATTTGTTGCATGCGGCTGGATAAGGGAGCACTCCTGGTGAAGTGGGCCTCTTTCTCCAGAGCTCTTCGGCCCCACCTTAGCCTCTCCCTCCTCACGTTGCCTGCTTTCCCTGTCTTCTCTGAAGCTCTCATTTTTGTTTTAACTTTCCTGCAGTGACCCGCACCTTGATAGGAACACTTTGCCTAAAAAAGGACTCAGGTATCTGTTTCCTCCTTGCGTCCATGCCATCTGGTATGGCTTCGGGGCTTGGCTGTGTGATTGTCTCATGGCTGGTGGGGGTTTAGGCTGGGCCGGGGTCCCCGCTTTGGCCACCGCAGCAGGACCTCTGGATGATGGCTCTTCCTGCACCTCCTCCTCATCTCTTCATGTATGGCTTATTTGCTTGAGCAGAGGCTGTGCTTTTTCAGGCTTATTGTGGTAAAAACCATCCATGGAAAACATCCCTGGGCAAACCCAGACAGCAGTTCTTGCTACCTCTGGGGCCCATGGGTTTAATCGCTGAGCACTTCACCATGACCATTCTGTTCACGGGCTGTCTTCCAAGAGAAAGGACATGACTTGTAGCATGTTGATTTGTCAGCCAGGCCAATAATTTTAAAATATTTAACTTTTCGGCCCATAGAAAATTGCTAAGACAGATTCTTTATACTTGTCTAAATATTCTAATGGAAAATCAGGCCCGTAAGACCCAGCTGTGATCCATTTTGGGTATAAGGAAAGAAAAGGCTACCAGAAGACACATCCTCTCTTTCATTGAAAGCTGTGCTCATTTGGATGCTAGTCCTGGTCAAACAAGATGCTATAAGTCACCGTTGCTCTTACCATCTACTTCCCTTTGCCAACCAAGGAACTTCAGTTGTAACACCGGCCCTGTGGTGTTCGTGTCTTACAGTCGCAGCTGTCATATCTCCTGCTGTCTAAACACCTTGTTCTTTGTAGCATCAGCTTCACCCTGCACTAAACATTAAGTGCTTTTGCAAAAAATGGAACTTGGAGTGAAATGTTTCGTTGCTGTCATGTATTTCTGTAGTTCATAACCTGCAGCTCTTAAGGCTGAGAGCATTTTGAACAGTGATGTGAGGTAGGTATCAATGCTTCCTTTCAGTAGGAGCTCTGAGTAAAGCCACCTCTAAGAATCTAAAAATAAAAGTATTGAAATATCCCCCAGCGGGCATCCTGAGAGAGGAAGTTCAGTGCTGTGGCCCTCAGAGGGGAAATTGGCAAGGCCTTTTGTACTGAGCGGCTCTCATCATGCCCATGAGGGCTGCTTGTCAGCACCATGCTAATGCTCAAACAGTGCCCACTCTTAATATGGGTTTGACATCGATGTCCTACTGTTGCCTCAAGAAGAAGCTAGCCTCTCTAATATATGTAATTCTGCATATAAATCTGTATATAATTCTGGAACACATCTATCCTAACAAAATTATGTAGCTCTGACTTTTTAAATTGTTCTTTAAAAAATTCAGAATAGGGATATGTAACAGGCTGTCTTCAGGTAATTGCCTAAGATAAAAACATTAAGGGAGAGACATTTGTATTTTCCCTCTCACTCTGATGCTCCCTTTCTAGCGCACGCCCTCTACACACACACATGTCCAGTTCCAACACACCAACAACTCCTTTCCTTAAGCCGAAAGAATCCCTCTGATGACGTACACAGTAGTCGCCCCATAGTAGTCTATTTACAAGTCCAAGGGGCTCTGGCCACTTAGACATTTCAAACATTTGAGATGCTCCCTGTACGCATAATGAGAAAGAGCATGGATTTTGGAATCAGACAAAAATGGGTTGAAATCTCAGCATGTGATTCAAGGCCTCATCTCCCTGAATGTAAAATGAGAATCATATCATCTGCACTGCCGGGTAGATTGGAGGCTTTAGTGGTTAATGTTAACGAAGGCATTTAGCATGGTGGAGACACTCCATAAATCATAACCAGATAGTTTCAGAATAAATGAGGAAGTGGACCACGTGACCTCTGAAGCCCCTCCCTGGGTGAAACCCAGTGATCTCGGGTTCCTTTTCTGAAAACGTGTTTATACTGGATGATAGCAACCACTAGGAGCATCAGTACCCTCACACTTTCTTTACCTGTCTGATTTCTGATGCATAGATTCACGGCCACTTATCTGCACTCTAGGATGCAGACACTGTGAGCTTTCTAATTAAAACTTCCTCCAAGTTCTGACAGCAGCTTATTCTGTTGCTTTAGTCCCATCAAGGTGGGGGCTTTGCAATGACGCTGTCATGAACCAACATGTTCCAGATCTGCCCAGTGATGGCTCTCTTGAGCATTTACCAATCTCGCTCCCTTTATGTATTCCCTCCAAACGGAATTTCAGTTTTCCCCAAAAGTAGCCAAAAAGTAAAAGAGGTTTTGAGAAACTTCACGAGTTTTAGGATGTGTAGTGATCTGATTTTTTAAACATCGTCTTTGGATATATATCCTTTTTTTTTTTTTAAGTTCCTCATCAATGCCATGGAGTTCATTTTCTTAAGTATTGTTCATAGTGAATCCCAGCTTGACTTCTGCCTGTCCAGGTACACTCCCACCTCCCAGCTTCGCACACAAGATGACACAAAGGAATGGTTACGGTCCCACTCCGCAGGTGGCCTGCAGGACACCGCTGCCAATTCCCCTTTTTCCTCTGGCTCCAGTGTCACTTCTCCCTCTGGAACAAGATTCAACTTTTCCCAGCTTGGTGAGTAGGCACTTGTCATTAGCTGTGTTGACCAGCTCCATAGGGCAGAGGTTGCTTCTGTATTTTGACATACATATGGTCACTTCACTCTAGTATCTGATCAGCCCCCAACAATGTAATATGATTACAGGAGGTTGGTAGCAAAAGATAGAGAAAATTGGAATGTTTTTGGTATTCTAATCAGCAATTTTCTTCACATGGTTGATATAGGTGGGGTTATAGCAAAGAGCAAACCATCCTGTTCTTGAGAAGAATGTGTTGAGACCTAAAGAAGCAGGTTTTAGAACATATCCCATATTTGGTCACCCTCATTGCTTTATTAAGCTGGAAAGTAAAGACCAGGTGTTGATTGAACAAGTATTCTTGGAAATGCCTACTACTGACATAATGCTTTGACTGGCACAGAGAGGAAAGGAAAAGAATTTGTAACACAGTCCCTGCTACATGTCAATGGATTCTTTTGGGAGAGAAACACACCCATGCAGACTCATAAATAGAGTGAAAGAGAGCAGTCCAAAGCTTTATATGAAACTGTGAGATCTGAATGTGATCAGATAAAAAGTATTATATACAGTTAGAAAGATCCGTCCTGGCTGGAATTACTGGGGAAAGTTGCATGAAGATAGCAGGATGGGAGCTGAGCCTTGCAAACTGATGGAGGGGGGACAAAGTCTTTTCTTACCTTGGCTCATTCTTTAGAGAGGCAGCCTTTTCCCAAATATTGTAAATAATAAACTCAGAGTCTTTAAGGACAGGTGTGGTTTATAATCAAGCATGGCTTTATGCTTTCATTTCTAACGAATTAAGTGAATATCTGAAAAAGTGTACGTTACTGAAATAGGATTTTAATAAGAAAACCAGTTTTGACCTAAGGTAAATATTTGTGCTCCTTTGCACTGAAGCTCTTTAGGCACCATTACTAAGTGTGTCCCCCATTGGAGGCAATGAGATCCGTGTTCATATTGTTCTTTCCCAGCCGTAACTCTTTGAGGCAAGAGTTTCTTGTCATGCACAAATGCTTCCCATCTGATCAAAAGCCCAATTGAACTATTTTGGGCTTTTGGCTTTAGAAAGGATTGTTCCAGATGAGCCCGGGGAGTAATTAGTTCATGCCTAGAAGGTGACACTAGCTTGTCTAAACGTGCCAAGTTGGAAAGCTGAGGCCCAGAGGCTTGCTTTGGAACTGACCCACCTTCCTCCCTTATTTTTAGCTCTGAGTGTGTTACTCAAGTGCTGATGTGACTACCTTTTAGAAAATAGATGAGAGAGAAGTTGGCAGGGGCAGATATGGCCAATAATAATCAGTCTCCTCTTCGTCCCCATCCAGGATTTGAACTGAGATGTCAATTTCCAACTTCTGATTCCATTCCTTTCATTCCAGCAAGTCCCACTGCCGTCACCCAGATGAGCCTGTCCAACCCAACCATGCTGAGGACCCACAGCCTCTCCAATGCCGATGGGCAGTATGACCCGTACACCGACAGCCGCTTCCGGAATAGCTCCATGTCCCTGGATGAGAAGAGCAGAACCATGAGCCGCTCAGGCTCATTCCGTGATGGGTTTGAAGAAGGTAAGTAAGGAAATTCACCATCTCGGGTTACACGTGTGGTTAATGGTCCTGTATATGGAGTTCACTTCATTGACCTGAGAGCCTGTCTTGTGTTTCCAGCTCTCCCACTCACTCTGGGTGCTGGAGCTGAGGAATTCTGAATGATAGGGTCTGACTCTTAATTAACCTTGTAGGACTCTAGGGAAGAGGCTGCTGAAAAACAGTGGTGAACCTTAGAGCTGACCGAGGTCCGCTCTAACTTCCTTCTCTCCCTATCTCTCTCTCTCTCTCTCTCTCTCTCTCTCTCTCAGACACGGGCCATGGCTTCTTGGCATGTGCCTACATCTTGAGGTTCAGCCGTGGGCTCACCATCTTGGCAGAGCCAGTTACTGGGAGCTCACTGCCGTGTGCTGACACACACACCCATGTGGCTTTAGGGGCCTGTGAGCAGCCATGACTCTCATGGATTTTCTATTTCTTTTGTCAAGCACCAAATTTTTAAGTGTATTGCATGCAGATTTGCCCTTTTTCTTCTTTGCTTACTAATTGTGAACATTCGGATTGGATTTTTGTGTTTTGGTCATTTTATTCAGAATTTTAGGAGAAAAATACTGTGGGCATCTTTGCCAGCCATCTTCCTATCAGTTGATTTCTCTTCCCCTTTGTTCCTTCACTCAACATGGGAGTTAGGGGAGCAAGCAGTCAAAATGCTCTGGAGGAACATTGTCCCCATACCCAAAAGCTTCCCAAGATAGGAATGATAGGACTTTGGCATCAGTACTTAAGACTAACGTTTAAGAATATGGAGTAAGACTACCGGGTTGGGATTCCATCCCCACTGCTTATATACAGGATCTTGGACAACTTACTTCACCTCTCCATGCCTCCTTTTTTCACCAATAAAAATGGGAATAATAATAGCATCTAGCTCATGGAATCATGAGAATTAAATAAGATAATACATAATCAGTGTTAACCCAATAATGTCACAGCCTGTAGATTCAGCTTCAGCATTGATGTTCTGGCACCTGGAGCAGACGGAGCCCAGGTTTAGGGCCATAGCCCTAGTTGTGCCCTTTTTGGCCAGTGACAACAGAAAAGAGAGCCAGGTGCTTTTCTCCACTCCCAGTCCCTGTAAGGGTGGGGGACATGCCCAGCTTCCTTCTGGTAAGAAAACACAAACTTGTAATTGTTTATGAAATCCCTGAACAAGTCAAGAGAGAGATGAATTCAGGATATATGCTTCTGCTTTTGCCCAGTATATTTTATATAAAAGTTTTAAGGAATTTAGTTCCAGAGCCTGGCCCCCTGGTTAATCTTTCTAGTGACTTAATTCTCTCCACCCTGATTTATGTATCATTTGCATCCAGAGACATCCAGTGAGCAGAGGCAAGTCTGTTAAATCCATATATGGGAACTTGCTGGGCCAGAGGATTAAGGAGGGGTGGAGCCTGAGTTACCCAGAGGGTTTTGCTGGATTTAGGAGTTAGGAATCAGTGTTAGAGCCCCTCAGAGTGCCGATAAGCTAACCCCAAGATGAAGGAGTAGGCAGTTTGTCTTGGTCTTTTTTCTAGTCTGTGCTGCAAGCCAAGCATGGCCGGGGAGCATTTCCCTGCCTCACAGTGACAACCAACACATGGAGTGTGTCCTATGCCATATTCATCTTCTGTCACGTGTGTACCTGAATGAACCATGTTTGGTACTGAAACTTGTGCAAACAAGCACACTTTGTCTCGTAAAGGTCCAGCACCATTATGGTTATCATCATCAGATAGATTTTATTTATTCCATCTGGAATCACATTGTCAGGCAGCACAACTGTGGAATATCTGGGATGTTGAAATGACATTGATAAAAAAATGCCCGCCCACAAGCAGTGTCTAGACTTTTGTACACCGAATGATTCACGGTAGCATGGAACTGAAGAGCAGAGGTAAAAATCAAATTTGGAGGAAGAGGCAGGGAATGCTGTCTATATACTATAAACACATAACAATTTTAAATTTGTGGAAATTTGGCATCAGACTGATTTTATTTCTTCCAAGGCTATTACATTACGAAAACACAACAGGGCTTGTGCAATTAGGTGTTTTTGATTCCATTGCATAAAGACTTTTTTTCTCCTTTTGAATTTATAAACCCCCAGTATTGCAGAAACACTTGGGGAAAAAAACTCACATCTCATATTTGAACCAAATAGAACCCCCCTTATAAGAGTCAGTTAGGTATATCATATACCCAAAAGCAGGATAGAAATACAGGAAGAATTAGCACCAAGCACTTGTGAGAAGCTTTTGTGGGATTTAATTAGCACTTTCCATTTAAAGCAAATGGGAGTCATAAATATGTAGATTAGGTACAGGTATGGCCCAGATGCAGCCTTTTAAAGTTCCTTCAGGTAAATTAATTTCCATCAGATGCATTATGCAGTCTTAAAGTCAATTTTTAATAGCACACATTTAGGGAAATGCTTGAGGCATTTTTTAAATGGCTGTCTTTGGAGGAAAATAATCTAGTGACTTCACCAATCATTACAAAGAGCTAGTACATTCTAAAATGGTTCATATGGAATTCACAGCAACAGGGCAGCTTATTAATAAATAAATCTTATATTGCACCTCTCTTGTGTTTCTATCCCGAGTTACACTTGCAGTTCAGATCCGGGTACCTCCACTGTTAACGATATGATTTTGGGTAAGGGGCTTGACCTGGTCAGTCTATTTCCTATTCACTGAAATGTGGAAAATAATGATACCTGCTTCAGAGGATCAAAGTGATTTTAAGTGAGATAAATCCTGGAAAGCATTTAGCAAAATGATATTGAAAGGGGTAATGGTAGCTAGTGTTAATTATGCTTTATTTTGTCCTTCTCCCCAAGGGCCATTTCATCCCCATTTTGTTTGTGGCAAAATTGAGGCAGAAGTGACTTGAGGACTTTATATAGCCAGCACTAGGTCCTAAATTCTCAGTTCTCAGCCCTCTATTGTTCTTTTCAATCCTGCCTTTACATTTGGCTCTACCTTGGTCACACCTGGGCTTTCTTTCTTACCTGTCTAAGGTGAACTATGATCCTTCACCAATACATTCTCTGTTTTCAGTTATGCTTTCTTTGCTGGTTCACAGGGTGGTCCATTGGCCATCTACCTCCCATTGTCACTAGCTCTTTTGGCAGTACCCAATGATGGGGTGAGAACTAGAGGGCAGTGCCTAGATTCCCATTCTCTCTGTGCTCCTGGCTAGCTTTGTGTGCCTGCCCACATCACATAGCCTCTCTAGGCCTTGATTTGTTCTTTTGTTGACGTGCAGTAGAAACTCCTGCCCTGTCTGGGAATTCAGCTATAAATTCTCTGTAATGAAGAAGATCACATTAAGCAATAGTATAAATAAGAAAGTGCTTTGATTAGTATAAAGCTGAATGTAAATATATGATGCCCAAGTGTGATATCTGAGGCACTTAATAGCTTTATTACCTGGAGTTGCCCGATTGTTTCATTCTGTCAAGTGATTTCACCCCTACCTAAAGCACAGGTGTATGTTCTTCTCAAACATGCACTTTTTGCTTATTTGATCCCAGTTTGTGCCTGTGCAGATTGCATGAGGGGCTTAGGAAACCATCTAAAAGATACCAAAGGCTTTATTTTTATTTAAAAACACCTCAGGAACCATCAATCAGGTCACTCAAGGGCAGAGCAGCCTCCAGACTTCCAGTTAGCAGATCCTGTTCCTGAGTGTGGTGTGACCTTAAGCACATCACTTAACCTCTCTGGGTTTAGATATTCTCTGTGGTACCTTATAGCTTCAAAGTTACAGAGCTAGAGGTATAGGGTGGAAAATGCATGGCATGCTTTTGCTGTTCTGGCTGTGTAAGTCTTGCATGCACTTTGTTATATGAAGCAATAGGCTGTGAGTTGGCTCAGTTCACTTGGAAGAGGGCCAGGTGCAATGGTTCAGGCAAGCCACATTCAGTTTGGGGTTGACTCTGGAAATCAAGGAATCCTTCTTTGGACCACAGCCTTGCTGTTGCTATTTACTAAGTAAGAGGAGTTAATTACAGAGAAAAATAATTACCTCCACCCGAAGTTTACCAGATGGTGCTCATCTCTGCCTGCGGCCCCATGCTTTCACTGAGCTATTGCTGAAGGTTTTGACAGTGTAAGTCAGTGTGTATGAGGTAGAGAAATACAATAAAATGGAAGAAGAACTTTCATTTTCCAGCAGCCAGAGTTCATGGAGTAACCCTGTGCAGGCCTCTGGAGTAGGCAGTGTGGTTGAAGTGGGGGCTACATGTTACCCACATCTCTTAACCCAGCTTGGCCCATTACTTTCTGTGTCACGGGGCTAAAGTAATTTACCCCTTTGGAACATTAGGCCACTAGGTTAGGGGCATGGGAGGCATCTTTTAATGTGTGAACATATTAACACTGAAAGCTGTTATTGGCCAATAACACCTTAAACTGAATTTTTATGGGGCAAGTGCCAGATGAGTCGTGGATAGAGGAAGAATGTAGAAAAAGATGCAGAACCCTGGGCATGGCTAAGGAGGGTGGATGTGAGTGGTGGTACAGGGGCAGCCTCAAAGCAATGGGTATTTTCGAAGAGAGAAGAGGGCTGGAAGGGCAATCTGAGAGCTATGTGGGTTCAGAGGAGGGAGGAAGTAGATGCAGGTGGCAGTCAGGGACATGAGGGAAAGCTCCATGGAGAAGATGCCTGAGCCGATGCTGGAGACTTGGACAGGCAGAAATGAAAAGCATCCTAAACAAAGGAAATTGCATGGACATAGATCTCAGATGGCAAAGTGCTATGCAAGCCGTGCTTGAGAGAGGTTCTAGGTTCTGAGTGAGGTGAAAAACATGTGGAAGGAGTGGGAGGGCCGGTGTGGAGGCGCCTGAGTGGTAAGCTGGGCTGTTCGCCAGGTATCTCATGGGCAAGGAGCTCCTGCTGATTGCTCATCCCAGTTAAGTTCACTTTTTGGGTGGTAAGTGAAAGCCGTTTAATGCACATGGCAAGTGTCTCTCAAGCCTCCTGCTCCCAGACCACAGGTAAGAGCATATGTAAGGGTAGAGGCTTTCCACTCATGGTCGGGAAAGCTGTGCCTAATTAAAAGGCCTGGGGTATCTCAGAATGTGTATTTCTTTCAAACAAGTTGTATAAAGATTACCAAGAAAATGTCAAAAAATCTGGTGCCCAAAAAAAGAAGTCAGCCAGAATACCCCATCCTAGAAGATCATGCTTTAAAATGGCCTGAAAATGAATAGTAAAATGTCTCCCCCAACCATGAGGATGGTTCTAAGTCATAAGCACCAGGAGAAACAGAAAAGAGGGCAGCACGTGCTTGTCACTTTGTATACATAATTTGCATGTGCAAGTGACAAGCGCTAGCAGGGTGTGAAATACTTATGCTACACAATCTCAACCCCAAAGGAACGTATTAGAAAAAACAAAGAAAATATGCTGGATCAGAACAGGTACGGAACAGGTTGCCTTTGAGTAACAGAAACATGAGTCATACAGGTTGTAGCAGGAAATGCATATCTTAATATTTCTCTGTACTTGAAAAATTTTATTTAGGAATCATGTATTACTTTGATAGGGGGGAAGTATTTAGAAGGTTGTAGAAAAAAAATGTGCTACTAGAAAAGTGACTCCCCGAGCACATTATCCTTATTTGACTCTGACCTAGTGCCAATCAGGAAAGGCTGGGTCAAGGTGAGATTAAGTGGCTCCCAGCCTGGCAGTGTCCTGTCATGTTGAGTTTCTCCCCTCCTCTCCCCTTTTGGTGCCTCTACAGCAGCTGTGCAATATACCTTTTCTTTTCATTGTTTTTTTCACTAGTGCATGGATCCTCGCTCTCCTTGGTTTCCAGCACGTCATCAATTTATTCTACAGTGAGTATAAATCAATGCTGTGGGGCTATGATCATGAGAGTGGGAGTTCCTTTGTCAAGTGTGTCAAGAATAAAATATATAAGCATTTTTTCCCAGAGGCAGTATTTTCATTATCAGGGGATTAATTAATTAGGGAGCAAGATTTGAAATTCACAAACAGCTATTGATTATAGCCAACCAACCAGAAACAACCATTAAATCAGGAGCTGATAGCCTTACTCAAATGGCCTTTTGCTTTGGATGTTAACTAGTTACAATGTGTGAGAAACCTTGGCCACCTGCTGGTAGATGTGGGAAAGAAAGGCCTTGTACAACTTCCTAATCTGTCAACCTCAGTTTCTTTCTGTGTAGAGAAAGAATAGCTGCCCCTACCTTGTGGAGTTGTAATGAGGATTCAGTCTTACGGAGATTACATTCCACTGCAATATAAATTCCTTAAAGACAAGGACTTTTTTCTGTTTTTATTCCTAGTGCCTAGAGCAAGGCCTCACACATAGTAGGTGTTAAAAAAAAGTAGGTTTGAAATGTTGCGTATGTGAAACCTGAGCATAAGATTGTATATCAGTGATACCTTAATAAAAAGAAAAAAAAAAGAATTCAGAGGAACACACACACACACACACACACAAAATAGGTTTGAGTGAAATAAGAAAGTGCCTGTAAAGCAGTGAATATAGTGCACATAGCACAGAGTAAACTCTCACAAATGTTAGCCATGAAAGGTCTACTGAACAAAAGCCAAACATAATCAAATATGATACTGGATTTCTTCAGTGGTGCTTGCTTTTTATAACTATGTATGTAAGTATTTATCTGCAGAACTTTAATTGGGGAATTCCTCTTGTGGGTGGGGATCATTCTGTAAACAGAAAATTAGAAATTCTTTAGTCTTTAACTCCATGGAGGACGAATGTTTTAATAAGTCAGTTTTTGGTAGTGCCAGGTTTCTGGGCTTATATAGCCCGACAGACTGTATAGATAGCCCCTTGTAAGTTAAAAGCCATCCCAGAATCAATCTAAAGAGACCAGGGGCCTGACTGTTCTTTCTTAGGCCTGTAGTGAGCAACCAGACTCCAGGTTTGAAGGATCTAGAAATGGGGTCTTCGGCTTCTACCCCCTTTGCCTCTCCAACTCAAAAATACCTCTTTCCCCAGTCAGTCCTCTGTCTGAAATTTCACAACAGAGTCCTGGCTTTCATTTTAAAGGCTCTATATATAGTAATGTGGGGGAGTGGGGGTCATTATTTAAGCCACTATCTACTAAGTAAACACAGAGATAGCCTTCTATGAGCTAGTACTTATACTAAGTCTTCAGAATGAAACTTTGTGATGTGAGTACCAGAATCCTTTCAAACCTAGATTCACTTCAGCAGTTATTTACTGGCACTCAGTCTATGCCAGGCTAAGCCTCAAGGGTCTGGTGCAGCTGCTGAGAAGGCAGCTGGGGGCCCCAGAGGGCACCAAGCAATGGCGGACTCTAGTTACAGAGTCGGTACAGGGCAGCCACACTGAATACGCCCCAACCCCAGGTTTTCCCAGCGGCATTACCAGGATTTCCTGGTGGGTGGGCCATCCCCAGAAGAGTAAAGGATGGGGGCTGGTCTGCAGTGGCCAGTCTTGGAGGGAAAGAGCATGAGCACCCTCACCTGTGAGAATTCAGATGTAGGAAACTGTCCCTTGCCGTTCCTGGCTGCACCCCCTTCGTGCCAGCCACTGGAAGTTCTTGCACTCACAGACATCTCTTTCAGTAGCTCTTGTTCTGAGTGTGTGAACATGAGGCTGGTGGTGCCTTGAAATCTGAAATTGTTCTTTCTGAGTTGATACAAATTCACAAATTCCCTAAAACCTAATGATAATAGTATTTAAATTCCATGTTTACTGGGATAAGAAGAGACCCAAGGCCTAATCTTAGTTTTTTCTCACTGTATGAGTTTGGACAGATCCCCTCAGAATTCTGGTGTCTCTTGGCATCACGGAGCTGCGCCAGGTAGTCTCTGAAGTCCCCACAACCTGTGAAATGCCACCAGGCATGAGTCAAAGGTTCCCATTTACTGTCCTTTACATGCGCCTCCTTTGAGAACATAGGTTACTTCTGTAGACTTTTTAAAAATGGTCTAACATTCTAATGTTTTCATGTTAGTCTTCTAATTCCAAGGAAATTTGCAAGTCTGGCTCGACTCTGCTCCCACCAGCACTGACATATGGCCCCTTATCTATCATTGCCCACTTGGTGATGCAATGATATAGCTATAGTAAAACAAATGCTCGGGCACCTTTATAAGTGTTACGGTGAACAAATTCTCATTTGTTGTATAAAAAGAGATCTTTGGAGTCTCTTAAGTTATCATCAACTCAGACAAGAGTCTGTTTAATAGCTGAGTGTTATAAAGGCTCTAATTAAATGATAATAGGTTTTTTCCCCTGAAATCTCTATAATTCTTGGATATTCAAGAATGCTCATTCTGGCTGGAAAGTGCCTGTAATTTTAATTAGAAAGGAAAGGGAAGGCAAAGTGATGCCAAACATCTGCTGGGGAGAAGTTGAGGCCAGCCCTTGGAGCAGAGAAAAATCTAAAGGGCCACATCTGGCATCAGACTTGCTTTCTTGGTTGGTGGGGAGCAGCAGTTGAATCCCCAGAGGAACTGATAAATGCAGGAAGGCCCATAGCTCATTTAGAGTTCCCAGATGTACAGAAGAATTGCAGCTGGGGACAAGATAAAAAACACGTGATTTCTCAAGGCTGCTAAGCCAGCCCCAGAGACAGGTGGTCATAGTGACAGACAATGGCAGAGGTGTGGGGAAGGAGTATTGGGTTGTTGACAGATGTGCTTAGAAGTAGGGCCGGTCCTAAATGGGTGGTTCAGCCTGCTGATAGACCTTCACTAGCCCCCCCCCCAAGTGTTAGATAGCTGTGATATTCTCACCATTAATTTTTCTTCTTTGGATCAGACTTAGAAGTCGGGGGTTTTACTTCTGGAAGGCTTCCATGAGACCGTAGCTATCATAAAAGAGGAGGAGAATGCACTGGTTAAGATAGGCTCCGAGCCAGACTACCTTGGATCTAATCCGAGCTCTACCACTTACTGGCTATGACCAGGGGAAAATTATTTTACCTCCCCGTGTCTCAGTTTCCTAATCTGCAAAGAGAAGGCAATGATGTTAGTATCTCCTCAAAGGGTTGTTTTGAGGATTAAATGAATAACAAATGTAAAGTGCTCAGAACAGTCTCTGACACATGGTAAGCACTCGATAAATGCCACTTAGTATTACCAGAATGTGAGCAACATGAGGTGAAGGACTTGGTCAAGTTCACAGCTGTATCCCAGGTTCTTAAAACAGTGCCTGGTGCATAGTAGGAAACCAAAAAGTATTTGATAGATGGTGGTGATGAAAAGATGGAAAGACAAAGAGGGATAAGTGAATGTTATCAGAGAAGGAAGAGTAAGCCCAACCTTCTCCTAAAAATGTTTCCTAGATAAGGAGATAGTCCAGCTGTGTGACTTCAGGCAAGATACCTAACCTTTCTGAGCCTCAGAAGGAGTACAAACCTACTTTGTGGAGTTACAGCAAGGATTAAATAATTTGGCTCCACGGTGCCTAAAAACTTCTTGCTGTTGTTAGAAGCCAGCCTGGAAGGAGAGCCCTTTTGGACAGGAGCAGGAGTGGGTGGGGGTAGTGGGGAGCAGGGATGAAGGGAGATCAGACAGGAAGCAGCCACCCACCTGCCCCAGCTGATGAATATTTGATGAATCATACCCTCTGCATTCTGAACTAATAGAGATATAGACACCAGAGTCAGATGCTGATTTTTTAAAATAATGGGTTTATGTCTAGTAAAATTGAATTATGACATAAATCAAGGACCTGAGGACAAAATAGGGTCTTTGTTGATTTTTCACTCACTTCTCTGGCTCCCAGGTCACTACTCTCCCTACCCCTGGGGAGATAAAAACGGAGGTGTGGAGAGGCAGGCAGGAACGCTTCCAACATTTCCAAGAATGTGGTGGATGGGAGATGGGGTTCTTTTATGGGCCCCTGGGAGAACTCAAGGAGAGGGAAAGAAAGTTTCGCCCTGCAGCAGTTTCCCCAACCATGTGGGTTCCGCCTATGGGGGAAAAGAGGTAGGCTTGTAGTCTCTGGCTGGCAGGTAACTGTGTCACCGCAGACACAGGGCCCAGTATGGAAGGCTCTGCCTTTAAGAGGGCCGCCAGGCTTCACCCTTACTCCGTAGGATCACAGGTAACTGGGGGACTTGACATGAGGCAGCCGGAGGGTCACCCTAGGGAGTCAGCAGGCTGGCTGAGAGAGGCTCCCAGCACCCCTCACTTTGGAGGTCTTCCTGCCCAGGGCTGCCCCTGCTCCACTGCCCCAGGGAGGGGAGGAGGAGAAGGAAACTGGGGCAGAATTATCCTATTAGTATTTGTTCCCTGCCCCCAGGCAGGATCACCAGATTAAATATGGGATGCCTGGTTAAATTTGAAATTCAGATTAACAAGGAGTAATGTTTTAGTATACCTATGCCCCCAATCTTGCATGGGACGTATTTAAACTTAAAAAATTTCACATTTAACTGGGTGTCCCGTATCTTTATTTGCTAAATCTGGCAGCCCTTCCCCTGGCCCATTCCCTTCTCATCACACCATCCCCTGAGCACCTTACGCTCTCATTATCTCCACATCAGAGCAGGGGGCTCCCTACTCAGCCAGAAGGGTTGGAGTCTTGTTCTAATTCTTCCTAATTTCTTAAAATAATATTCTGTTTGTATTTGCCCTTTCTGGTTGGTCTTATTAATCGAACCAGTTTTATCCAGAAAAATTCACCAGGAAAGAAACTAATAAATCTTCAAAACTGCCGTTAGGTGCCCCAGTATGGTGTTCCCCGCGGGCGGGGTGCGGTGTTGGTTGTTCCTCAGCCTGTCTCATTTCCCTTCTGTTTTCCTTACAGCCGGAAGAGAAGTGCCAGTCAGAGGTAAGGAACAGTGTGCCGGTTCGATTTACTTTTTCACTATTACCAGTTTTTCACCCAGCCCAATCTCAAAATGGATTCCCAAAGCAAATAACTCTATTCCCTGTCATTTTTAGATTCGCAAACTGCGACGGGAGCTGGATGCCTCACAGGAGAAGGTTTCAGCTTTGACCACGCAGCTGACAGCAAATGTGAGTAGGGAACAGGGCGGTTGCCATCAGGAGGGGAGGCTGCCGCCCCCTTCTGAGCGTTACTCAAGGCCTGCCGCCTCTGAGCACCACAGAAGCTGTGCAGCATAATGAAAAAGGACAGACTTTGGCATCGTGGGTGTGAATGTAGCTCTGACGCTTGCTGGTTCTGTGCTGTGGGGGGATTCCTTAACCTCTGAGCCTGCACTTGCTCGCCTGTAGGATGATAATGCTTCTCAGGGTTGTCGTGTGATTAATACCTGTACTATATTAAGTGCTCAGAAATGTTCATTTCCTTTCCATTCCTCTTTCTGAACATTTTAATCTGAAAAGGGGGAAAAAAATTCTAAGGTGCTACAATAAATAGCTGCACTGTAATTATAAGACACACAATTACGTGTTCAGGAGGCACTGCCAACCAGCATTCAATTCAGCAACTGTTTTAAGTGCCAACTAGGCCCCAGGCACTGTGGATTCAACAGCAAAGCAAACACAGTCACTGTCATCTTAGTGTTCTTTCTATGGTACAGCAGGGAGACAAAACAGTTTTGCCATAATGTAGTAAAGGGAAAAAGTTGCAGAAATATTTGAGAGGAGCACATAACCTGGTCTTGGTGGAGCGGGGATGGTGAGAAATGGGTTTCTGGGAGAGGTGACATCTGATGGATGCTGTGTAGGGGAGGATGCATGGGAAAGACAGCATTCTAAACAAAGAGAATCTGCGCAAAAGCCCAAGGTGAAGAAGATCTTGGTGCATTTGGAAACCGTCAGTAGCTCAGCGTACCTAGAACCTATGGCTGGATGTGGAAAGAGGCAGATGTGGAGGGAGCCCTGCTGCAGAGACATGAGCCCGTGAGGGCTGAAGCCCGGAAGGCAGGGCCTGAGATTCTGGAAGGTGCTGAGATGCCTCTGAGGCCAGGGTTCCTGCCCGGGAGTGCACAACCTGGTCTGAGACCACAGCTATGTGTGTGTGACCCTTTTGGAGAGCAACCTCTGTGACCCCACGCCATGCTATTAAAATGAAAAGCAACTTCAAAGGGTTGTCTTCCTTGGACCAGGAAGCTGACTCAATACTCTGAATTAATCATTTACCTAGAGCTTTTGCCCAGGTGGTTTTAGGCTTAAGCCTGGGTCTACTCATTTCTCTTTATAAAGTTTGCTCATGAAGTACCTAGTACAGTGCTTGACCCTGATCACAAGCTCAACAACTGTTAACTGCCTTCCCTGTTATTCATACTCCTGAGCTCTCTTACATTTCTGGACATTTTCATTTCTGAACAGGACATTTCAAAACTGTAACATACTAGGCCACTAATATGTCTACTTTGCCTCTTCTACTATCAGTAACACTGTCCAAGGAACCTCAGAAATTGATGTGAGATCTGAATTTTATGCCTTAGATCCTATTTTAAAAAAGACTTCCCACCCATTCTTCTGTGGGTAGTCTGCTGGGCACCATTTGAATCCAAACTGACCCAAGGCCCAAGGTGCCAGGGTTTCCTGGGTGTAATCCAAATGTGAGGTTTGGCAGCAGCCCCCGTCCAAGGTGATTCAGATCAACTCCCCAGGTTGGAATTACAGCTGTCAGTTGCTGCCCCTTCCTAATCAAAAAATAGTAATCTATTTACCAATAATTTGGGTTAATTCTGCCAATTACCTCATGCTGCCCCAAGGGACTTTACACTGGGCCACTTGGAGGTCTACTCTGTTCTAGAAGAGTCAGAGTGAGCTCCCTTGCATTGTTGTTATTATTCTAAAAGTGTGTTTTGCTCCTCCCCAAAGCCATTGAATCCCGTATTGTTTTAAAGTAAATATTTAGTCTTGCTAACGTGTTTTATTGTCTGCCATCTTTCTCTGCAAGCTATGTTTGTTTTCCTAGGACAAACAGCTCAAATCCACCTTCTCTGGGTGTTTTTATACCACTCGTGTTTGTTTTCTCTGGGAATGTGAGAACAGGCACTTGATGAGAAGGCTGTTGTGTGGCTCAGAACCAGCCCCGGAATGGCCCCTCAGCCTGTATTTTCATAGTTGCACACAGGACAGAGTCAGTCCTTTGGCTCGCCAGCAGAATGCGATCTTCTGGTTCGCGAGAGCAAATGTGGTTTCTTCTTGAGCTTGCAAAAACACTTTCTCAATCACAGCCTTGGGGTGGGGTGGGGTCAGGTTTTTGTTTTGTTTTTAACAGAAAATAGGAATGCCTACAAACAATCATGGGTGGCAGTCAAAGAATGGAAACATGGAAATTCCGTCATTTGAAGTTGACCTTGTCATCCCTTTGAAATGCAAGCACAGCAGTCATTTTCTTTGACATCATGTCCGGGCCCATTTCTTTCATCCACTGTGTGTCTGTCTTGATTTGAGTGGCTTTGGTTTTGCCACATCCTCCAGGGAAAACTAAAGCAGATCTCTTTATTTTAAAATGCAAAGGGCTTCTCTCAATTACATGCAATCAGAAAGAAACTGGCTAGTGTACCTACCATTTCTTTTACAAGTGGTCCTACTTCCCTGCCAATGCCTATAGCTGTTGGAAAGAAGTCCTAACGATTGAGCCTAGAAATGTCTTATCCTCAACTATTCCTGTTGGATGAAGTCTATTAACAGAGGCCTCTGATGTGCTCCTCAATTCTCTCCTTAGATTGAAATGTCCACCGACCCTCCTCACAGCTCAGGGCAGTGGCTGCCCACTTGTTGTCCTGCTTTTATTCTTCAGTATGTGTATCAGTCATCTCTCCCTCTGGGATTTTATTTCATGACCAAATCTCAGTCCTCCCAAGACTCTCAAGTACCCCCTGGGTTCTTCCCAGCCCTCCACAAGACCTCTCGGTATCTACCCGCCCCTCTCCTAGAACCTTTTCTTGATCTTTCTACACCTATGTTCTCATAGTCACTTTTTGTCACTTTCTCATTCCCAAACTTCTCCTTTCCTGATAGTGTCCATTCATTCCTGTGTTTTACAATTCCTTAATAGTTTACAGACCATTTTCACCTATATGTTTCACTTAATACAATAACCCTGGGAGAAAAATAGCTATTGCTCTCATTTTATAGATGAAGAATCTGAGGCCAGAGAGATTAGATGACTTGTCCATTCTTTGTTCTTGTGTTTTACAACACTATCAGGATCCTCAGTCAGCCAACCAATAGTCCACCTACTGCTCTATGGAAGGAAAACTTAGTGTTGAAACACAAAGTTACATCTTGCCCTTGCAGAGAAAGGTGAAGACAGGAAAATATCACATTTCTCAACTATAAGATACATGTTCTTTTCCCACATTTTAACATCTCTGAAAATTGAATGTATATTTTCATTATAATTGGCAGCACTTTAAAAAATTGTCTTAGTAGTATCTAAAAGGATGGTGCATCTGATGTTGAATTCTAAGATAGGTATATAAAAGTTCAGCGAGGCCATGAGGGAAGTCATAACTCCCTGTGGGAACAGGGTAAGGTTTCTCCAAGGAGGTAGCAGATGGGCCTTCAGTGGCTTTTTATTAACCAGGATTATAACAAGTAAAATATGCCAGCCACTTTGTTCATTCATTCTACAAATATGCACAGCATGAGCCTGTGAGCTTGGCGCATGGTGTAGTAGAGGACACAGATGTAAGTTAGCAATCACAGGAATATGTGTATTTTTTTTACTATGATTCCACAAAGCATTGTACTTTTGAGAAAGAATATGAGGGAACTATCCCAGTCTGGGAGTGTCATGAAGGCAGAAGCTAAGATCTCCAGAGAAGGATATATAATAGGGAGGCCGTTGGGAAGCAGCTTCCAGGTGGAAGGGACAGCACATATAAAGGCCCTGGGGTGGGAAAAAGCGTGGGCTGTGTGAAGACAAGAAAGCCTGGAGTAACTGATACCTAAGAGTGGTGGGAAGTGGGGCTCAAGAGGCCAAAGAATTAGAGGCCCTAACTCATGTGGCCCTGATGAGGATTTCTGTCTTTAAGACCCAGCCCCTTTTAGGCACTCGTACCTTACAAGACCAGGGTAATTGAGGCTGTGTCCTGCCCCTCCAGGCTCACCTTGTGGCAGCCTTTGAACAGAGTCTTGGAAACATGACCATCAGGCTCCAGAGTTTGACCATGACAGCTGAGCAAAAGGTAAAGCACAAAGGATCCTTTTTTCCTCCTGCTTACAGTTAACAAACCTAAAAATGTTATGCTTTCATTCTAGCTGATCGTACAGGTTTTAGTGTGATTCTTGAACTGTTGCAATTGAATCATAAAGAGTAGGTCTGTTGATTGGAAATATGATGCAGCTGGAGTGGTGGCAACTTCATTAACAAGAGAGCTTATAGTCCTATTATTATAGTCCTATTATTCCTACTGCTTGTAGCTGTGTGTGTGCCAGTGCGAAAAGGGATCCAGCTTAATGTATGAGACAAAGGTTTTGTGGGACTCCTTCATTCCCTACCCTCCTCTGCTGAAACTAAGTTGCACTTCAGTTGAACTTCATACAGAATGATTGTAGGATGACAGCTGTTTTCTGTTCCTCAGGATTCAGAACTGAATGAGTTAAGGAAAACCATTGAACTGCTAAAGAAACAGAACGCAGCTGCCCAGGCTGCCATTAATGGAGTAATTAACACTCCGGAGCTCAGTTGCAAAGGTAAAGGCAGAAAAACAGCAGACCAATGACACCCCACCCCCGCTTAGGAACCTTGGCTAACAGCCTATGATGCAACCTCCCTGCCAGAGGGCAAGTGTCCTTGTCAACCGGATTGATCCTGCAAGGCAAACACTTTTACTCCAGTTGCTCCTGACCTCTAGGAAGATAGCAATTCCAGCTCATCCCCTCCTCTGTTACATCACAGAAACGGAAGATGTATTTCTATTGGCAAAGTATCAAAGTATTTCACAGCCTTTGGCTTCACTAAGGCTTTGATATTTACATATTAATGGGGGATAACCTGAAATGGGTCTGTCTCTTATCCAGGAAAATATTTCTGAGTGAATAGCTTTGTCCTTGTATATCTTACTTGGCGGGAAAAATATGGGCATGAGGATGAGTTATCTCCTGCAATAATGCTATTCACAATAATAACAAAAGAATAGGGATAACTAGTATTCATGGAACACTCACTGTGTTCTAAGCACTATGCTCAGTGTTTTAATTATTTAAATAATTATCTCATTCTCTTTTCACAACAACCTTATGTGTGCAATACTGATCCTCTCCACAGTGTCCTGATGACAACACCAAGTTTCAGAGGCAAGAGTCACTTCCTGAGGTCACAGAGTAGTAAGAAACTGAAGTGGGACTAGAACCCGAGTCTTTCTGACTCTGAGACCAGTGCTCTTAAAGACTAGGCTGCAGGTGTAGTTGTGCTCATGAGGAGAACTGTCTGCAGACTCTATTTCAGGCAGTGTTATTTCTGGTATTACTCTTACCTCAGCGATCAGGCCTCCTGAAAAAGTGGTGATGGGGTTGAAATGGGAAGGATTAGCAAGAGTTGGCTAGGCAGAGCAGAGGGCAAAGAGCATCCCAGGAAGAGTATGGAATAAGCACTTGTTAAGGCCCTGAGACAGGATGGGCTTGGCATTTCCAAGGGGCCAAGAAAAGGCTAGTGCAACGGGTGGGGGTGGGAGGCAACAAGCTAGGTGACAATCGCCACAACTCAAAAACTCGTTGATGCCTATCTAAAGTTTAAGAGAGCTGGTACTGGGGGAACTCTGAGACTCCCCTGACTTCTGTTTTATAAAGTGGAGAGAGAGAGCCCTCATTGAATTGACCAAAGAGGGCCTAGCACCAAACTCCTTAAGGCCCTCTAAAGCAGCCCCAGGGAACAGCAGGTGACATCTAATGGGAAGTACCTAGTAGGCCTCGGGTGTGTGGATGTTGGTCCCTGAGCACAGAAAGGTTCAAGCAGCAGCTATGATGCCCTGTCTTGGCTCTCCAGGAAACGGTGCATCCCAGTCTGCAGACCTCCGCATCCGCAGACAGCATTCTTCTGACAGCGTGTCCAGCATCAACAGTGCCACCAGCCACTCCAGCGTGGGCAGCAACATAGAGAGTGATTCAAAGAAGAAGAAGAGAAAGAATTGGGTGAGTGTACATCCAGTGACCTTCGTGGGTACTGGCTAAGAGAGTCAGCCTTGGAACCCATGTCCCTCCACATGGAGCTCATGCTAGCGCTTAACTTCAGAGCAGACTTGGGAGTAGATCCAAAGTAGCAGCTTGTGGATAGGTTTCTACCAAAATCAATGTTGTGCTCAGCCAAGGACTAGGATTTATGAAGTAACCACTTAGCTATTGCTCTCATTTTATAGATGAAGAATCTGAGGCCAGAGAGATTAGATGACTTGTCCATTCTTTGTTCTTGTGTTTTACAACACTATCAGGATCCTCAGTCAGCCAACCAATAGTCCACCTACTGCTCTATGGAAGGAAAACTTAGTGTTGAAACACAAAGTTACATCTTGCCCTTGCAGAGAAAGGTGAAGACAGGAAAATATCACATTTCTCAACTATAAGATACATGTTCTTTTCCCACATTTTAACATCTCTGAAAATTGAATGTATATTTTCATTATAATTGGCAGCACTTTAAAAAATTGTCTTAGTAGTATCTAAAAGGATGGTGCATCTGATGTTGAATTCTAAGATAGGTATATAAAAGTTCAGCGAGGCCATGAGGGAAGTCATAACTCCCTGTGGGAACAGGGTAAGGTTTCTCCAAGGAGGTAGCAGATGGGCCTTCAGTGGCTTTTTATTAACCAGGATTATAACAAGTAAAATATGCCAGCCACTTTGTTCATTCATTCTACAAATATGCACAGCATGAGCCTGTGAGCTTGGCGCATGGTGTAGTAGAGGACACAGATGTAAGTTAGCAATCACAGGAATATGTGTATTTTTTTTACTATGATTCCACAAAGCATTGTACTTTTGAGAAAGAATATGAGGGAACTATCCCAGTCTGGGAGTGTCATGAAGGCAGAAGCTAAGATCTCCAGAGAAGGATATATAATAGGGAGGCCGTTGGGAAGCAGCTTCCAGGTGGAAGGGACAGCACATATAAAGGCCCTGGGGTGGGAAAAAGCGTGGGCTGTGTGAAGACAAGAAAGCCTGGAGTAACTGATACCTAAGAGTGGTGGGAAGTGGGGCTCAAGAGGCCAAAGAATTAGAGGCCCTAACTCATGTGGCCCTGATGAGGATTTCTGTCTTTAAGACCCAGCCCCTTTTAGGCACTCGTACCTTACAAGACCAGGGTAATTGAGGCTGTGTCCTGCCCCTCCAGGCTCACCTTGTGGCAGCCTTTGAACAGAGTCTTGGAAACATGACCATCAGGCTCCAGAGTTTGACCATGACAGCTGAGCAAAAGGTAAAGCACAAAGGATCCTTTTTTCCTCCTGCTTACAGTTAACAAACCTAAAAATGTTATGCTTTCATTCTAGCTGATCGTACAGGTTTTAGTGTGATTCTTGAACTGTTGCAATTGAATCATAAAGAGTAGGTCTGTTGATTGGAAATATGATGCAGCTGGAGTGGTGGCAACTTCATTAACAAGAGAGCTTATAGTCCTATTATTATAGTCCTATTATTCCTACTGCTTGTAGCTGTGTGTGTGCCAGTGCGAAAAGGGATCCAGCTTAATGTATGAGACAAAGGTTTTGTGGGACTCCTTCATTCCCTACCCTCCTCTGCTGAAACTAAGTTGCACTTCAGTTGAACTTCATACAGAATGATTGTAGGATGACAGCTGTTTTCTGTTCCTCAGGATTCAGAACTGAATGAGTTAAGGAAAACCATTGAACTGCTAAAGAAACAGAACGCAGCTGCCCAGGCTGCCATTAATGGAGTAATTAACACTCCGGAGCTCAGTTGCAAAGGTAAAGGCAGAAAAACAGCAGACCAATGACACCCCACCCCCGCTTAGGAACCTTGGCTAACAGCCTATGATGCAACCTCCCTGCCAGAGGGCAGGTGTCCTTGTCAACCGGATTGATCCTGCAAGGCAAACACTTTTACTCCAGTTGCTCCTGACCTCTAGGAAGATAGCAATTCCAGCTCATCCCCTCCTCTGTTACATCACAGAAACGGAAGATGTATTTCTATTGGCAAAGTATCAAAGTATTTCACAGCCTTTGGCTTCACTAAGGCTTTGATATTTACATATTAATGGGGGATAACCTGAAATGGGTCTGTCTCTTATCCAGGAAAATATTTCTGAGTGAATAGCTTTGTCCTTGTATATCTTACTTGGCGGGAAAAATATGGGCATGAGGATGAGTTATCTCCTGCAATAATGCTATTCACAATAATAACAAAAGAATAGGGATAACTAGTATTCATGGAACACTCACTGTGTTCTAAGCACTATGCTCAGTGTTTTAATTATTTAAATAATTATCTCATTCTCTTTTCACAACAACCTTATGTGTGCAATACTGATCCTCTCCACAGTGTCCTGATGACAACACCAAGTTTCAGAGGCAAGAGTCACTTCCTGAGGTCACAGAGTAGTAAGAAACTGAAGTGGGACTAGAACCCGAGTCTTTCTGACTCTGAGACCAGTGCTCTTAAAGACTAGGCTGCAGGTGTAGTTGTGCTCATGAGGAGAACTGTCTGCAGACTCTATTTCAGGCAGTGTTATTTCTGGTATTACTCTTACCTCAGCGATCAGGCCTCCTGAAAAAGTGGTGATGGGGTTGAAATGGGAAGGATTAGCAAGAGTTGGCTAGGCAGAGCAGAGGGCAAAGAGCATCCCAGGAAGAGTATGGAATAAGCACTTGTTAAGGCCCTGAGACAGGATGGGCTTGGCATTTCCAAGGGGCCAAGAAAAGGCTAGTGCAACGGGTGGGGGTGGGAGGCAACAAGCTAGGTGACAATCGCCACAACTCAAAAACTCGTTGATGCCTATCTAAAGTTTAAGAGAGCTGGTACTGGGGGAACTCTGAGACTCCCCTGACTTCTGTTTTATAAAGTGGAGAGAGAGAGCCCTCATTGAATTGACCAAAGAGGGCCTAGCACCAAACTCCTTAAGGCCCTCTAAAGCAGCCCCAGGGAACAGCAGGTGACATCTAATGGGAAGTACCTAGTAGGCCTCGGGTGTGTGGATGTTGGTCCCTGAGCACAGAAAGGTTCAAGCAGCAGCTATGATGCCCTGTCTTGGCTCTCCAGGAAACGGTGCATCCCAGTCTGCAGACCTCCGCATCCGCAGACAGCATTCTTCTGACAGCGTGTCCAGCATCAACAGTGCCACCAGCCACTCCAGCGTGGGCAGCAACATAGAGAGTGATTCAAAGAAGAAGAAGAGAAAGAATTGGGTGAGTGTACATCCAGTGACCTTCGTGGGTACTGGCTAAGAGAGTCAGCCTTGGAACCCATGTCCCTCCACATGGAGCTCATGCTAGCGCTTAACTTCAGAGCAGACTTGGGAGTAGATCCAAAGTAGCAGCTTGTGGATAGGTTTCTACCAAAATCAATGTTGTGCTCAGCCAAGGACTAGGATTTATGAAGTAACCACTACCTTGTAGTTTTTCTGTTTCATGAGACTTTATGTGACATACGCATCTTTCATTTCATATATGTGTCATTTCTTCCTCATCATATATGAGCCACAAAATTCCAGATACTGGAGTAGTTTCTTCTTAGTCCCGAAGTATTTTTTTGGAGTATACATTACTAGTTATCCCATCATTAACCATAATCCTTATCTATTTATTTGCCCAATTGCCCAGGATAGCGTTAAACCAGCTTCTTTGTGGATAATTTTTGACTATGCCCTCTCTGTAAATAACAGTTTCATAATGCCGATGTTGGGAATTAGTGAAAGGTTCTAAACTGGGAGGCCATTTCTCGAAATGGCAAGTTTTTAAAGACCCTGGCTCCGATGCAGTTTCTCCATATTTCCCTAATCCCAGGGAGCTACCAAAGTGGCATCTTGAACAGTTTTTCCCATTCTCCTGGGAAAACCCTCCTCTCACCCCAAATAAACACAGTTTTTAGCTCCACTGTTGAGTATGTGGGGTTCCAAGTGAGATTTGCCACTCCCTGCCTTCAGAGAAGGGACATCCAGTGGACCTGAAGCTGGCCAGTGCTCCCGGGGCCCCATGTGCCAGCTCTGACAGCGTCACATCTTCTTGGTGGCTTCAGTGTCTTCCTTCATTCCATGCACTTCTCATTTTGTGTTATCTTGGATGGGTGGCGAGGTCTAGTGACAGAGGAGTTGAAGATTTAGTAATTTTGGCTATTGATGACTTTTGCCCTGGAGGAGAGCTCCAAGGCCGGTTCAGTGTGACCCTCTTAGCATCTGATCAAATTTTTTCTTTAAGTTATTAATGGGTTTTAGTCAACTCGTATGCTATGACTTAGACTAGGATTAACTTGGGTTGCTCTTTTTAATATACTTTTGGTAAATATGATCTGATTTGATTATCAAAGTGATGAGGGAGAATTACTTTCTGTGAAAAACAGTGGTTATCAGTTTTCTTCAAGAAATAAAACCTGTTTATTTGCTTTAAGACAACTCTTGATTGTCAATGAAATTGGAGTGAATGGATAATCGGCATCCACAGATAATTCCGAAGCTTCTGTCTAATCTTTGTAATCTCCTCTTCCACCTGGCATTTTACCAGTTAGAGACAAGGAGTTAGGTTGATATCTTGGATGCCAAATCCTTCTGTTTCTGTGACTACTCTCTGGAAATATGATCAGAGCCAGGAAATAGAAGAGAAATAGGATCTAGATTTACCCACAAGCTGGACATCCAGTTTGTTATGGATGAAACATTGATGGGAGAAAAATTCCATTAATTATTCTAGCATAGCACCCATTTTCTGAAATTCTCAATGATTATGAAAACCCCCAGAATATTTTCAGAAGGAGAAAAGACTTTAGAAAAAGGAAATTACTTTTTAAAAGATCTTATTTCAAGACAAAACATTATTTTTTGACCTAGAAAAATACGTGCTTGTCCTAGCTTTCAGAGAAAACATTGCCCTTTATTCTTTATGTTTTCATTAGAATTTTCAGACCTATCTCAGGGTTTGGGGAATTCGTGATAAACCAGATCCTGTTCTCCAATATAGTTAATAAATATCTTTAAAATACCCATTTTTGGGGGAGCAAGTGAGATGGCTAACACCCTGCTTATTATATCACCTTATGTGTATACATGGACAGCAGAACTCCTAAGTAGGTACATCAAAGGCTATACAGCCATGTCAGGACTAATGTAGCAATGAAGCTACCCTTGCTGAAAAGACATAAAAAAAAAAAAAAAAAAATTGAGACAGAGAGAGGTGACTGATAAAAGACAAAAAGGTGAGAAGTTCAGGCAGATAGGGGGTAGTCATTTCAACCAGACAGATGCTGGAAGAATTCAGACTATAGGGATTCCCACACCTCCTATTCCCTTTCTTTGATAATGTGGGGAGATGCCCCTAATGCTTTGAAAGATTTGTGCCCCTACCAGAAACCTCCTCTGTGTGTGGTGTTTATTATTAGCCATGTCATGTCTGAAAAGTCCAAAGCTTTCCCTGTCACTGGCTTTCTCTGTTAAAAATTGTCTTTTTTCCTCCCCCTTCCCCATTTTCGCTTGCGTTTTCTCTGGCAGGTCAATGAGGTAAGCAAGACCAACATTAATATGAGATACCAAGCTAACCCATCCATTGATATGACTAACCTCATCCGTCATCATGTCTGAGCATCCTGCTTTGTTGCTGTATAACTTCATCCTCCCAACATCCATCTGCTGAGCCAGGCTCTGTCTTGCTGTTGGCATCTAGTCTTGAACCAAGAGTAGGCATGGAATGTTCCCCACAGGTCCAGGCCTTTGAGCTGTCAGCACAAAATAACTCTTCCCTTAATGCACTGGTTTGAGAGAGCTGTTGGGTATCTTGTCCATGGGTTGGGGGCAACACGTGGGAGAATTAATGGCTCTTCCTTCTGCATGGGTCTGTTTGCCAAGGCCTGAGTGTTGCTGAGGCCCCTGCAGGCTGATGGACTTGTATATTCAGTTACGCAGCTCCTTCAAGCAAGCTTTCGGGAAGAAGAAGTCCCCCAAGTCGGCATCCTCCCATTCAGACATTGAGGAGATGACGGATTCTTCTTTGCCTTCCTCGCCAAAGTTACCGCATAATGGGTCCACGGGTTCCACTCCACTGCTGAGGAACTCCCACTCCAACTCCCTGTAAGTTTGTCTGCTGGGGTCACCCTGGGCTGGCAATATCTGTGGCTCTGAGGAACCCTCGAACAGGAATGGCTGGGAGCCCTGTTAGGGTATATTTATGCACCAGGATCCTTTATGTCTTGCTTTCATAGGACTGTGGTGTTCTTCCAATGTTTTAGGTCAGGGGAGGTTGAAAAAGAAAGTGTGGACAATTCGCTGGCTGACCTTGGGCAAGTTGCTAACCTCTCTGTTTTCCATTTCCTTATTTGTCACTTTGGGTTAATGGTTTTTGTCTACTATCCTATCCTAAGGGTTGAACAAGATAAATGGATGGGGAAGAGCAACATCTACCTTGCTGAGAGGGGAAGATGGTGTTATGAGCATTAACAATTTTTGCTGAAATGTGGTTCATTTGAGTGCTGACACTTAGGGAGACAACACTTTTCTTCTTTGGTCAAAAATTGGTATTGATTCTCTGAATCAGCACTCAGAAACTGAAAGTTTAAAAAATGGAGAGATTCAGTGAGGGCAAAAAGCTGAGCAAGGAGAGGAGAGGAATTCGGAAGACTGGACTGCAGGGCGACCCTGTCCACCCCGTGCCCCTGCCCTTGCTTGAAGAATTAGGTGAATGAGCAAGAGTGTGAATCCTATTTGATCTGAGAGGTAAATAAAGGATGAGTTCCCTGTGGCTCACACATGTCATCAGCCCAGAGCATCCCAATTCAGCTGTTTTCTGACAGTTGAAAAAGGAACTTCTCCTCTATTACTTATTGGTTCAAACTCTGTTTATAAGCAGGGCACTACTGTAGGTATTTTGCAAAGACTAACAAGAATGTGACCCAGGTTCTCTCCCCTGGGAATTAGAGACTGGTGGGAACATAACACAGTATAGCTCATTGCACTTCTGACCTTCTGCTCTGTGCCAGGCACTGTTCTTGGCTCCAGTTCCAAGAGTAAACAAGACAAGTAAAAAGTTCCTACTCTGGGGGACCTTCTACACCAGGGGGAGAGACAGACATGAAACAAGTAAATCTGAATAAACTAGAAAAGTCAGAGAGTGCTGAGAGTTCATGCTGAGGTGTAAAATAGCATGGTGGGGTACAGAGTACCTTGGCAGCAGCTTTAGACAGGGTGGTCAGGAAAGGCCCCCTGAGGTGGTGACGTTTCAGCTGAGATCGGCATGACAGGAAGAACCATTAGTTGGTTCTGATCAGTAACAACAGCTGCTGTAACAGATTCAGTCCCAAAGTTCAGTGGCTTTACATATGACTGTCTCTGGTTCGCTGCAAACCCAAGGCAGATGCTCCTCATCAGCAGGCAGCCCGCCGAGTGGCGATGCAGGCTCCTTCCGTCTGGGGGCTGCACTTCCCACAGGGCCAAGTGCTCTGTTGAGTTCTCTGTGTCTGGCCAATGGAGGCCAGAGAGGAAGGGGTGGAGGATCCCACTGAAGGGCTCAATAGGCTGGGCCTGGAAGAGACGCATGTCACTCTTCCAGTCCGCTGAGCCGGCCCTGCCACGTGCAAAGGAAGATGTGGACTCTGGCACCAGGAGGGAAAGGAGATGGGCTGTGGTGAGCATATAGTGGCCTCTGTCACTCCAGCCGCATGTGAGTGGGGCAGCTGTCCAGGCCTCCAGACAGCATGAGGGACCTAAAGGGGAGACAGGCTTGGTGTGTCTGAGAACGAGATGGATGGGCAAGGGTGAGGTAGGAAAGGAGGCCACAGGGGTACGCAGAGCCTAGGACACAGGAGGCTTTGAACTCAGCGTGAATCCACATCTGATTTCATGTTTGATGGGCAGATGTTGGAGAGTTTTAAGCAGGATCGTGAGATCATCTGAAACAGTGGTTCACAAAGATCAGCCTCCATTCTGTGGATGAAGGAACGCAGGGGAGCCCGAGAGAGGAGGGGCGATCCCATAAGAGGCTGATAGCACTCTCTCCCTCATTGGCCTCACTCCCGCCATGCTGGGCTACTTCCTGTTCTTTGACCACTTCTCACCTCTAGGCCTTTGCCCTTCCTGTCCGCGTCCTCAGGTCTCTGTCCAGGACTACCTTCTTGGTAATGCCTTGCCCATTGGCCTTGCATAAAATTACACCCCAACCTCCGGCCAGCACGCCCCATCATCATCTCTCCCCTGCTGTATTTTTGCCGTGGCATATATCACCACCTGACATGGAGGTTTTCCTTGTCTATTTGCTCTTTCTCCCCAACACCAGCACCAAAAAATCTACAGTACAAGGTACATGGAGGTATGTACTTTGTTGGTTTTGCAGCCATTCAGGTATTAAGTGAATGAATGAGTAACTGATGCTAGTGTGAGTCCTAGGTGGATTTAGGATGTGTTGTAGAAGAAAAGTTGACAGCACATGGGGATCTGTGCCATGTGAGGGAGAGAGAATAATGCTTGACTCTTCTTAGATTTGCAACTCGAGTGCCTGCGCATGTGGAGGCATGGTTTCTGGAGTAGATGAGAGACACAGACGGGGCAGGGTGGGGATTGGAGCTCTGGTTTGACCGTGTTAAGTTTGAAATGCCAACCAGCCTGGAGTTGCTGGAGGTGTAGATTTGGGAGACATGGGATGGAAGGTGGTACTTAAAGCTGGGAAACTGGAGAGGCCTCCAAGGGATTGAATGGAGATGGAGAAGAGCCAGATGGGCAAGGGTTGAGCTCTGGGAGCTTTGAGAGAAAGTAGAGCAGCCAGTGAGGTGGGAGGAAACGTGGGAGCAGATGGAGGAAACTGGAGGCGGGAGTACTGATGGGCGCAATGCTGCTGGGTGGCCAAGATGAGGGCATGTGGCACCGGTGCACTCAGCTATGTAGGACTCTCAGAGACCAGAGTGAGAACTCTCCCTCCAAACCACTCTCCCCTGGAGACTGGGCAGGGCAGACTCTTGGCCCCGCAGCCCTTTTCTGACATTCCACAGCATCCATGCACACTGGAGATGTTTGTTTTAGGTCTAGTTTTCCACAGGGTGGGCAGAGAGCAAATGCTTCTTTCTAACCTTGAAGGGTTTGTAAGAATGCAAATCGAGACATGAGAAGGAGTTCAAAGAAGAAACCAAAGGCAGAGGAGTCAGGGCTCAGAAAAGTCCCTACCCTGTGGGCAAAAGGAATGGATGTGTGGGAAGGCAATGTTTCCCATACTTAAGGCATTTAAAATTAGGTATGCCACCAGCCCTGCCTTCTGAACAAAGGCATCAGGAATATGCTAGGATAATGTGTTAGGGACTGAGTAGGAAAAAATCTACATCAGGTTGCTTCAGTAAGTTGTCCATGAAGTGGGCACGCATGTACTGAGTGCCTGCTGGATGTAGTTCAGGAGCATAGGCTCTAGAGTTAAACAGCCCCATCAGATTTTATCCTGATTCTGTCATTGTTGAGGGGCATATTAATCTCTCTATGCCAGCCTTGCCATTTTTAAAAGGGAGATAATTATAGTGACTCTTCATGGAGTGTGTGGTGTACATAGGAAATTAAATATGCTTCAGACATTTAGCACAGTTGTTCATGTATTCAATAGGCATTTGCTGAGCATCTATTATGCACTGAACCATGTGATCAGACACTAGAAATGATGCAGACAACCCTGGTCCTGGAGGAGCCAGCAGCCATGCAAGGGGTAACCTGTTAGGTCCAACCAAAGTATAGGTGACATAATAGAAGTCTAGCTCAGAAGGAACCAAGGGAGAAGGTGCTGTTTGGGGCAATAGGAACAGAGACTAAAACTTAGTTGTGGCTGCTGCAGAGAACCTGTTTCAGCACCATCTCTGTTTAGAACATTCCTCCCATGTGCCCTGGTAGTTGTGTGTTTCGGAGAACTGGCTGATTTGGTGGAGCTCAGGAGTTATACCTTGGTGCAGTTACTCCCAGCACAAACTTTATTTTTGTTTGCTTCATTTTGTAAAATCATTGGCCAAGCTCTGCAAAGTAGCCTGTGTCATATATTCCACAAAGTGGGTGCTGGAGAAATATTGTCTCTTGCTGAGAAAGCTTTCTGGGGAAAAGGTTCAGACCAATGCAATGGAGACTGGAGCAAAATGCCATGCAGTGGAGTGCCAGACAGACCAGACTGGCAGTGTGAACCAGAGCCAACTATTCTCTGCACTGAAGTGGAGCCTTGGAGATCTGTACAGGGCATGGTTTGTCTAAGACCCAAGTGTCACAGTGGAATTTTGTTCAGACTTCACACTCCATTTAAACCAGGAAACCGTATTTCTCTCTCAAGAAAAACTCAGTTTTTTTCAAGCTTACCCTGCAAACCTCCCAAACTGAGAAAGCATGACTATATACTTAAACCTTACAAACCATAGGCTCGTCAAAGTACAAGGGAGCTGCAGGGGGAAAAGGGATGATCTGAATCATACAGACAGTTCTGTCTCTCCAGCCCTCTTCATCCCAAATCTGTCAGCCTCGGTTTCTCATAAATATGAAGTAGGAATGATGATAACAGTTTCAAGAGACCATTGGAGGTTTCAGAAGATTTTGAAGCAGAGAAACTTCCTTGGCTGCTGACAACTTTTTAAAAATAGAAGGTGGTTTTACTCTCTCTCAAATCAAAACCATTCAGGTGTAGGTCAAGAAAATAGAAGCAAAATGATTTGGCTCTTTGGTTGTTAAGTTTTTCTTCTAGTTCTTTCTGCTCCAAAAATACAATTACATTCTTAACAATTATAAATGGTTTTCCTTCAGCACTTAACATTTCCACACCCTCTACCGGTTTTACATGTCAGAGTGTTTTTGCCCCCAAATCCAGTACCTAGATCTTGGAAAGTGGGCTCTCATGATGATTTCTGCAGAGACCACATGCTCACCATGTCTTTCAGAGATAATCAGCTTCAGCTTTGTAAGTTTATGAACTCGGGGTTTTTTTCTTTTTCTTTTTTCTGTCTTCAGTCCCAGAATGTCAAAGTTTTCTAGATCACCTCTCATACCAGATCCAGTGATCATTGACATCAATGGAACTCTTGTTAATAGAACTGTATTTTCTAACATTGAAATTCATCATATGCTGAATTGCCAGGTTGAGGAGCAAACCTTACTATTTCAAAATAGGAGCCCAGCCTAGAAGTACCACTTCTTAAGACAGGAAGACTCCACAGGTTCCCTGGTCTCTGATCCAGTGTTCAGCTGGGAAGGGAAGATAGCTAACCACGTTGTTGCAGTTTTCAGATAAAACTTTGGCTTGTATGTTGTAAGAATGTTTCTAGACACTTTTAGGGGAGTTGGTCTTAGAATATAACCAAAACTAGACCAACTCCTTCTACCCCTATCTTTAGGTCACTTCACTTTTAGGCAAATAAAAATCACCCCGCAGCTGTCTGACTTTGGAGTGTCTAATCTTTAAAACAGACAGTTGACCTTGCTTCTCTGAATGGGCTTAGATCTCAAGGAACATGTGTCATTATATCATTAAAGGGGCCCAGCTGTATACACATTGGGGTGGGGCGCTCAAATCCCAAAGGTGACTGTTCCCTTTTACCAGCTTCTGTTTATCCCTAGACGATTAGAATTTTGGTGAGAGGCATACCACAGCCATTCTGATTGCCATAGCTCTGCAAAGGAAGAGTGGAGGAAGGCAGCAAAATGTGTGAATTTCAGGGGCTTTGGGCACTGTCACCTCCAGGAAGCACCAAGCAGCTAGTTATACAGGGTGACTGCTGAACAAACCTGAGGTGGACACGGGCCAGTGGTTAGTGGAGGGCTGAAAGGAATTAAACCCAGAGCTACTTTCATCAGTTATATTCCCCTTTCCCTAGAATTTCTGAGTGCATGGATAGTGAAGCCGAGACGGTCATGCAGCTCCGAAATGAGCTGAGAGACAAGGAGATGAAGCTGACAGACATCCGCCTAGAAGCCCTCAGCTCTGCACACCAGCTTGACCAACTTCGTGAGGCCATGAACAGGATGCAGGTAAGGGCTCAGCCTGGGGCTGAGCCCAAGGCTGTCTGGAACAGAGTGTCAGGAAGCTGCTCTCCACCACGGCCCCGGTGGCAACGCTCTGCTTTCTGAGCCTTTCTCTTTTCAGGCCTTCCAACATATTGCTTGGAGATTTTTGAAAGCCTGGGAGTAATTATGCCCCTCCTTTTGCAGGATTCCCTTTACTGTTAATCCACCCACCCCACTTCCTCTTTCCAGGCTATACTCACCCAGCCAGCGGGAGCCACTGACTGCTCCCTATGCATGTCCCAGGATTTCTGTTTCGTATCCACTGGGATATCCTTCCACACATCCAGACTGGACCTTTCCCTCGAGGCTTAGATGCCTCTTTCTCTGCAAAGCTTTTCCAAGTTCTGCATCTGGAAAAGTTAGTGCCCTCATCTCAATGCCTATAGATTTGTTCTTACAGCACCTCACCTTCTACTATGGATCAAAGGCATTTGGGTCTTCTGTTCTTTTTTTAATCCCTTTCTCTGGATGTAGCACCAGTGCTTTACACATAGTAGGTTTTTCCCAAATATTTACAGAATGACCTTTGCGGGCTCTGTCAATGGAACCTCACTGGAAAATAGCATTTCCCTGAAGAGGTGTCACGGAACACTCGTTCTAAGAGAGGCTCTGTGACAGGAGAGCTCCTTGGTCCAATATGTCTGGGAAACTGCAGATTATGAGCCCCTCTCACAGTCACAAAGCACAGAAGCTCACTAAAGGCTCTGGGTCCTACAGTAAAGAAACCTGTCAAACCCAGAGCTTCTCAAACCTCTTAGATTATAAGACTCTTTCACTTACTACTCAGACAGCAGACTGGAAAACATTTCTGAGATCTTTTCAAGACCGACTCTGAAAGGATGGGCCCTCCTCTGCCAGACAGGTCTTGGGTGTACCACAACGGCAGCAGTTCTGAATCTCTCAGACGGTGTGACCTACTCTGCCTCGGTCAGGATACCCACGTGATCCCTGCAGGAAACTTCAAATCCCTCCCTCCTCCAGAAAAGGCTTGTTCACATTAAATCCGTCTAGTAAGTGGGCTTCTCCCTTACTCTTTGCAGAGTGAAATAGAGAAGTTGAAAGCTGAAAATGACCGGCTGAAGTCAGAGTCTCAAGGCAGTGGCTGCAGCCGAGCACCCTCCCAGGTGTCGCTGTCTGCTTCCCCGAGGCAGTCCATGGGCCTCTCCCAGCACAGCCTGAACCTCACTGAGTCAACCAGCCTGGGTGAGTGAGTGGTATCACAGGGCTGGGGGCAAGTCAGGGCCTGCAGCTCATATTCTGCCCTCCCAGTGAGGGCCCCAAGATAGCAGATGAACAGATCAAACAGAGAGGCAACAGGCGTGTGTGCATCTGGGGTGTGTGTGTGTGTCTGGGTGTGTGTCTGCTACCAACATGAGCCCAGCTGTTAGACTGCTATCATGCTTTGCTCCAGTGCCCCAGATTCTCAAGCCATAAGCTTGGACCCCCTCGCCCACCATGCTGAGTTCTGTTTGATCCATTTTAGGAGGCTGACCTGCAAGCTGAATGCATACCCCATAGTAGCAAGTCCCAGTAGGGGCAGTGGCTTGCTCTCTGATCATTCTGCCTTCAGGATGGATTCCGGGCTGGCACAATAATTAGCCAATGCGATTGAGGTTTTCTTTGTAAGCGTATTGAGGCTGGCGCTTTGATTTCTTATCCATGAAGCTGCTGTTGCTATCATTTTGGTTGAGTCTCCCTCGCAATTCCATTTGGCAAGGTACATCGTCAGCCTGCTGGTTCCTTGGTTGGCCCCCTATTGGTTTCTGTGGTGGCATTCTCCATTCTGCCCTCTCCCCTTCCCATGACCCCCACCCCATGTCCCCTGCACCCCGACACCTGTTTGTCCCGCTGCTGTGCCAGTGAGCAGCAGGGGTGTCAGGAAGCCAGCTTTGCTGTCCCCATGTGCCTAAGGCTGTTGATGTTTTCCATTCGCAGACATGTTGCTGGATGACACTGGTGAATGCTCGGCTCGGAAGGAAGGAGGCAGGCATGTTAAGATAGTTGTCAGCTTTCAGGAGGAAATGAAGTGGAAGGAGGTTAGTTGGATCCGTTTCCCGCTCTACCCGTCCCTTCCCCAGCTAGAAGTACCTAGCTTAGTGATTTCATCATCAACCGTATTCTTAGCACACAAGGTGATTGGAACTACTGATGCTTTTCTTAACTAACCATGATCCTCAGCAGCATTCTGACACAATTAAAGTGAACAAATGGTCCTCCCCTCCCTCTCGTATTTGGAAGTCTTTCATAGAATACCAAAAACTGTTCCATGTTGGACCTGTGCATAACTAACTAAACACTAACAGCAAACAGAAATGGCTTTTCTGTATTTAATATATTCCCAAAGCACTTCAAAGGCAGCCAAGCACATTTAACACGGAAGGTAAAGAAATCAGCTGAGCAAATTCAGGTGACTCAGAGTGCCAGTTTAATCCAGTCGTCAGAGGCTGCCCACAAAGTCGACACCAGGAGGCAGGGTGGTCAAGCACACAGGTGGTACAGGTGGGCTGGTGAGGCATCCTGACTCACTGAGGCTGGGAAATTTGAGTTTTCTGAGTGGTTTCTGTTTCTACCAGAATCCAAGCAGGGCCATGTCCCCACCAGGGACCATTTTGGGGGTAGGGATGAGGGTTGATAATCAAAGTTGATTTTTAGTCTTTGATTAAATCTAAGTGATGCTGTGAGTGACCATCTCTCAGATAAGTAGGAAAGACTTCATGAGTCAACATTTCAAGTGCCCTTCAGATTTTTGTTTATTTCTTAGCTTTGTAGCCAGCATGCTTTTGTAGTCCCGGGGAGCCCACAGCACCCGCCAAAACAAAGCATCTGCAGGCAGCCTTCTCTTTGCCAGTGGATCCTACTTCGTGGCTGGCTGTCTAGTCTCATCAAAGGGGGTAGGCCCAGAATTTTGGACCTGCCATAGGTTTTAGCATCATCGAACCTAGAAAAGATTCAATAAAGCTTTATTTTCAGAGCTTAGCCTAGCGGCATGATGGACTATCCTGGGAGAAATTCATTCTTCTAACATTCTTATAATAAGTGCAGGTGACACCTGAGAGTGTATTTTATTACAGAGATCATCATGAAAAAATAGGTTTTACATTTTAAAAAACTTTATGAGTCACTTTTAAAAATTGTATTTTTCTGAATCACCACAGCATCCAGTTGAGGAAGGTTGACCAGATATTATCTCTGTTTTACAATTGAGAACCCTAAGATCCAAGCGTGACTTACATAAGGTTGCAAGGCAGGTGGTGGGGCCAGATCATCTCATGGAAAGACTGGTGCTCTTTCTCTGAAGATTTTGCTTAACTGCCAGAGATCTCCGTCCCTGCCCCTGGCCACTCTCCTAATTCTGTATCCTTAAGAGCATGTCAGGTTAAGATTTTAAAACCCAACAAAATGGAATGTTTTATTAGCATTTGTTTAATTAGTGTGATTAGTTAGCCCCTACTACACAGAAACCTGTGGGTAGAGATGCAAAAGAAGTAGAAATAGATTGTATTTTTGTGAATTTCTGGAGTTCTACTAGTTTTCTGAATTGAATATATTTTAACTTGTAATTAGAAGAAAAGCAGTAGACACTGTTAAAAAAGAACAAAAAAACAGAAACATTCTATCCTCAAGTAGTTTAAGATATAGTAGGAAGACAAACTTAATTTACAAATAAGACAGAAATACCTAAAAATAAATCAGTAAAGAATATATCATTATGTAAGCTGTACAGAACCCTGAAGCAATGTGAGCTCTGAGCCTGGTGAGTTAATCATTGAAGACTTCCTGGAAGAGGTGAGCTTGCAAGCAAGGTTTGGAAAGGGAGAGGTGGCAGACAGAGGGGAGAGCATTCCACGCAAGGGATGTGCTCTATGCAGGAGACAAGATACACATTTAGTAGAAGGTTCTAGATTCCAGAGAGGAGAGTCGCTTTTCCTGATCCATTTATTGCTGTTTTAACAATAGAGCAAGGAAAATTTCTAAGACTGTTGCATTTGATCTAAGTTCTACATGGTGTTAAAACAAATAGGACTTTAATTTCCCTCTCAGTCCATCGGTGGAGTTCTAAGATAATCTGAGTCTCTGCTGAGCTGTGTCAAAAAAGATCCACCTGTTTTTCACCAGCATACATTTCCTTACCCTTAGGATTCCAGACCACACCTCTTTCTTATTGGCTGCATTGGAGTTAGTGGCAAGACCAAATGGGATGTGCTCGATGGGGTAGTTAGACGGCTGTTCAAAGTAAGTGTTTGAAGATGTCAGTGGCAACCTACTAAAGTGGGGAACATGGGCTTAGGGTGGGTAAGGGCAGTTTGTGTCCTGAATCTGGCCATTTCTTGGGCCTCCCCTTCTCCTCCATCCTTCTGTTGCTGGGGTTTGTTCACTGGCTCTCAAGTAAACAGAAGGATGGTAAGTACAGACTTGTGACTGGCTAAACTGTTCCAGGCTACCGTGGCAGAGGTTGGCCAGCCACTGAGAGTTACTTCCCCAGCCTCGAGCAATTATTTGGGCCTCTCACAGTGACCTGCTAATGTCCAAATTCTCCCTTCACCTTAAAATTTTGCCCTAGTGAATATGCCTTACAATGTGTGCTCTGGCTGGGCTAAGACATCAACTTCCCATCCTTCCTTCTGGGGGGATCTGATTTGACTTCCCTAGCATCCTTGCCAAGGTCAGAGTCTGTGACTTGTGCTACAGGTGACAGTAACATCTGCTCAATGGCCAGTGTCAAGGGTGTTGGCCTAGTTATTTTGTATTCATTCTAATCACATCATTGGAGTGGGTGTTTGCCCCAGGAGAAATACGTAGTGAGTATCGAGGTGAACCTTGAAACATAAGGTGGTTTGAAAGAAGCTTTTAGTACATTATTTTATATTGCACTGAAGTAAATTTAACCACCATAAGTGTTCATTAATCATATCCTCTGAGCAGTAATAATAGCTCAATTTTTGTGCCAGAGACCATGCTAAAGCACTTTCTATACATTACCCCCATTTATTTCGAGGCCTATGAGGAGGGTCCTATTATTTTGCCATTTAAAGGTGAGGAAGGTGAGGCTCAGGTTGAAGCACTTGCCCAAGGTGATGGATCTCTAGAACTAGATAATGTTGGTGTGAGTTAAGTTGGTCTGACTTCCAAACCTGGCTTAACTAGGGCACTCTAGTCTCTTTCCAGCATCTAGATTCAGGTGGCTTCACATGGAGAAATCCTGTTCTTTGACCAGAGGTCATCCCCCTATCTTGGCAGGCCAGTCTCTGGAAATGTGCCTGGGCAAGGGATGTGAATGGCTTAGGGCAGGCCAATCCTGCTACCCCAGCCAAAACTTTATCTCTGCTTATGGTCAGGACACCCTCGGATTAGAAAGGCAAATGTTTGGGCTGAGAAGAGCGTGGGGGGCATCACATGTGAGCAAATGAGACAATTAAAGGTAGAGGCCTATGTACCAGGATTCCACCTCAGTTATTGACCACCTCAAAGCCCATTGGTCTTTGGTCCATGTTCACTGACCTAAAATCTTTTGGTCATTCACCCAAGAGGGAATGTTCCAAATCAAATACACATTTTCCTGTTTAAGGATCAAAAGCTGCTTCTTTTCTAGCAGCCTTCGGTTTTGCTCCTTTATGGTCAGTACAGTCTTTGCTCTGAGTCAAAACAAGGGGCTGGTGAAAGGATTAGTCAGAATTACTTATTCATGAATTTTCCAGCACCTTTCACCAGCCCTGATGCCTTCAGGACTCTGGCTGAACTTAGGAAAAGCGGCCTAACTTCTGTGGTTGGTTCACCCAGACTAAACGTTTGGTCTTGTCAAGGGCTGCCCCTCCACCTCACTAACCAAATAAATCTGTACTTTAAGAGGCCTGTGATATGAGAGCCTCACAGAAAGTCAGCTCTTCTTCCCTCATTCCACAGCTCGATTTCAACTCAGGCATCAGCTGAGAAAGAAGAGGAGGTGATCGTAAATCACCCAGTGAAAACATGAGTCATGGGCAGATTTTTAGCCACATATTTGATGGGGTCCTTATTTTTTCCAGGAATACATCATTCACGTCGACCCAGTGAGTCAGCTGGGGCTGAACTCAGATAGTGTTCTTGGCTATAGCATTGGGGAAATCCAGCGCAGCAGCTCCTCTGACACCCCCGAGCTTCTGCCCTGCGGCTATCTGGTCGGAGAGAACACCACCATCTCTGTGACTGTCAAAGGTAACGCAGCCCGTTGCAGAGGTCAGAGTTTTCAGTAATTGCAGTTTTTGGTTTGTGATTTGGTGCAGAAAACTGGCTACAACTTTATGCCTATGTATGTGGCTTTGTTTGTTTTCCCCTTCAACCAGTCATTCTTCCCTAGGCGAGTTGAACAGTCTTTAGCTTTTTTCAACCCCCGTTGGAAACAAGTAATTTTAGTTTATTGCTGAAATTATGTAACAAAAGGTCCCATTAGCCTTATGACTCTGAGATGCTGGAACTTTAATAACCCTCTTGAAATGGGGCTCCACCAATACCAGGGACGTACTCTTGCCTTCAAGCCTTGGACGTGGGCCCATTCTATGGATGGGGAAACCACGATCTGCTGTAGGCCCCAGAGGAGTCGCTCTGAGCGCCCTGATGAAACCATCAAAGCTCCTGCCCACGCACGATGCTGCTGTCACTTCCGATTGCCTCATCATGTGGAGATGTTAAGCCCCAGGCCAAAGTGTATCCCATGGAACTCTAGGTTCACAACGTATTTTGTGGACAAAAATGTCTCATGGCCAAATAAGTCTGGCAAACAGCATCATTATCTCCAATTGGGCTTGAGGGGTGGGAGACAGGGGTATACTGTACACTAAAGCCTCTGTTCTTTATTGTACTAACTCCTGCCATTAAAAGTGGTTTCATTTGGTCTGACACAGATGTAGTTGCCTGCAAACCCCTTTTTCCTCTATTTTATGAACCACCTGAAGAAGAGACTAATAAACACCACACTAGGCTCCGCCTTTGGGGTGTCCCGTTTCTTTCTTCCCCATAAGGCACTGAGCTCAACTATAGTTTTGACAGTGCAGTTTTGAGGTTGTTTGATACATGGTTTGTTTCCTGGTTGGTAGGTTTTCCCAAACCACTCCCAGTGCCCCTGTCAGCACGAATCAAGATCTCGCTGTGCTGGTGAGAAGATGTATGTTACTGCTTAAACCTTACACATAATCTTACCTTGTGGACAAATGAAATCCCACCATTGTGGCCTTAGGTTGCAAGTGACAGAAACCTACTCAAAACTGGCTTTAGCAAAAGAGGAGACCATAGGCTCCCATTCCTGGAAAATCCAGGAATGTGCTTCAGACACAGCTGGGTCCAGGTGTTCAGCGGTGGCATCAGGACCAGACCTACCTCAGCTTTGCTTGTTTTTTGAGCACTCTGCATATGGCTCATGAAACGGCCCTCATGGCCCCAATTCATCCTTCTAGCTTAGAAACCTTAAAGAAAGAATGTCTTTCTGGAAAAGTGTGCAAGAAAATTCTCAGGATCATTCTGGCCTACGGTGAGTCAAATACCCATCACTATATCAGTTATTGTGACCAGGAAGAGGCTTTGACCCAGCCCAGTCACAAGCCTGCCTCTTGGGTGGCTGAAGGTGCTGGGTCAGCCCCACTTGGACCACCTGGAATGAACTCTTCATAAAAGGAAGAATTATATCACAAAGGAAAGGAGGAAAGCGGAGACCAAGCCCACCAAAACAGCAGCTGTCCACTCCAAGAATCCTTTAAGGGAAGCCTCGTACGGCACGGGCTTGGACTGCATTTCACCCGTGCTGCTGAGCAGGCACTGTCACTGAGAGGTGGGCATCCCAAGCATTGAGGGGCAAAAGGAGTGCCTGCTGCTGAGATCTGGCCAACGCTCCATAGAAACAGCAGCAAGATGATCTACCTCTGGTGGAACAGGCCATCCACCACGGAGCCTGATTTATTGCTGTTGTCAGCAATCATGTTGTTTTTAGTGTCAGCTCAGGCTTGTGTTTAAGTGGTACCTGACTCCTCTATTTTCCTGCAGTGCTTGAAACGTATGCCTTCAAGGCACTAAAAAGCACTCAAGGGTTTGAACTGAAAGAGATCAGTAACCTGCCAATGGTTCACTTGAGTGGAATTGGGGGAGGAGGTGTGACTGGGCATGCTCGAGAGTTCGTCTGCAAAATAGTCACTCCCAGGAGTTTTATGGCAAAAGACTAAAACAGCAACATAGATGCAAAGAAAGGCGTTTTTCCTCCCTTGTTGGTAGTTACTATGTTTAGATCAGAGACCCTGTGCCCCATGTGTACTTGGCCAGTGTAAGCTGGCTACATTGAACTCAGTTCCAGGAAAGTCTTAGGCCTGCGCCCAAAAGGTAGTCCATGTGGGAACCTTCACCACAGTCATTCTGGAACATTCACTACATTTAAGGATATTCTTGATTGGGGGAGGATTAGAAACCACCACACAAGTGCATTAGAAGGGCACTGTTTGCAGTGTGAATAATTATGAGGAAGGAGGATGCTGTCATAAAACAATAAATTCTCTTTATTTTTACCTACATTTACCTATTATTTCTTGAGGTGGGTTTTTAATAGAATTACCTTGGGTTCTGAACAAATAATTTTGTATGGATCCTCTTTAGGGAATGATATCAAGAAAATAGTTCTTTTAAAACCAACAGCCTTGATTAGTGACGTTGTCCCAGGTAGGAAAGGGGAAAGGTAAGTGTCCTCTTGACATTGTCGAGACTCAGCGGGCTCAGCAGGTAGCATACCAGCCACGGTGGGCCAGGATTCACATTCCCAAATCAAATGGTCTTACCTTGCTTTTCTCATTTTAAAGATAAAAGTGTTGTTACCTTCATGGTACCCTCTAGCGTGGGCAGCAGTGTTGGCTGGCACAGGGAGAGAACAGGGTGGGAGAAGAAACCCCATGGTCCTGGCAGACCTGGGAGGCTGGGGTTTGGCTTGGGAAACTACACCAGGGTGCTGAATTCAGACACAGGCAAACAGAGCCCAGAGTCTCAGGACCTCTGTGGAGGACAAACCGAAGACCTCAGACCCAGATGGGGAGGCTGGTCTGAGTCTGGGAAAGTGAGCCAAGCCAGGGGCCAGAGCACACAGTGCTGATGAGTAGGGAGCAGTGGGGGTTTGCTCTCAGCCTCCAGAGTACCTGGGTGGGTGGGGTCCCCAGGGGAATGGGCTGCCACAGGAAGGGCAGGCTCAGGTCATGGGCGTCCCATAGACAAGCACAGAGCTGCCCTTCCTACAGGGCTTCCAACACTGCCTGTTGCTCTCCAATTCAGGGCTCGCGGAAAACAGCCTGGACTCCCTGGTATTCGAGTCCCTGATCCCCAAGCCCATCCTGCAGCGCTACGTCTCCCTGCTGGTGGAGCACCGACGGATCATCCTCTCTGGGCCCAGCGGCACTGGGAAAACCTACCTGGCCAATCGGCTCTCAGAGTACCTGGTGCTCCGGGAGGGACGAGAGCTTACAGACGGGGTCATTGCCACCTTCAACGTGGACCACAAGTCCAGCAAGGTGAGGAGGTCATTCGGAGGCTGCTGACTAGCCAGGGGTCACTTTCTGGCCCGTGCAGAACCTTTGATGCCACCACCAGCTGATGGAAAAGCAGCATTTCCAAATGTTCTCCTTTGGCAATTATTAAAGCCCGGTGAAGGAGGTCTGGATGGGGCTAGCAGAAAAGAAGGCTTTGACCCAAAACTTCCCAAAAGGAAGTTTCATCAGTTCACTGAAGCTGATCTGCTTCATTTCTTAATTCCCCACTATGAGCCAGGCATGATGCTCAGTGCTTGCAGCTTTAAGGTCACCCCAGATACATCCATTTCCATTTACCATGAATTTATCATGTGCCTGTGAGGCGCTATTGTTTTTCCAAAATGACACCCCTCTTTTGTGAAAGAACAGATAAGAACAACACTTCACAGTCAGCAGAATGCTTGGCCCATGAACAGCGAACTGGCTTGTTACCATCCCCCTTCTACAGAATGGGAAACTGAGGCTGAAGGCAGATGGTCATGAGCCTAAGGCCACTTGGATGGTACTGAGCAGTGGACTGGAACTCAAGTGTTGAAGTCTTGGACTCCAGAGCCAGCAAATAGGCTCATTCCTGTTCATAGGGAGCAGTGAAAATCTGCCGTAGTCCCAGCTGAGAGTTGTAAAGCATGTTCACAAACCTGTTCATTATTCGTGAAGTGGGAGTTGATGGATAATTCATCCTAGCTGGCCCTATGCAAAAGGGCCAGAGATGAACTGGACATGACTCTTCTGCCTTAAGAATCACCTGGCGTGCTCAGAGATGCAGCTTCCTAGACCTCATCTCACATGATCTGTTTCAGTAGGTTAGATGGGGCTGGGAAAATGTGCCATCCACAAGATCCCCAGGTGATTCTGATGTGGGGGCAGGACTAGAGAGAAGGGGTCAGGGCCCCCATGCTGAGCACAACTGGATGAGTCAGCTAAGGGACAGCACCCTCGCAGGGCCACTGGGAGGAGGCCCCCGGGCTGGGGGTGCAGCCCAGGCTAGATTTCAGCCCCCACTCACTTTCCTCCTGTCTGGGCACCCTTGTGCAGAGCACAGCTCACCAGCCCTGCTCTGTAGGCCTGAGTACAGAGGGGAGGGAGGGCTCTGAGTCTTGGGGGCTCTGTTCTTGTCAGGTACCTGAGGCCAAGTGCTGGTGGAAAGGGGCTAAGAGAAGGGATCATTACTAGTAACTTAAAAAGGTAGGCTTTCTCTACTGCTAGCAAGTCACATTTTGAGTTAAAAAGGAGGCCTGGGTATGTGTGTGTGTGTAGGAGGTGAGGAAGTGCCACCCTGAGGACAGCCTGTGTGGAAAAGAGCCCACACTGGGGCAGGCACCGAGCCCAGAGCCCTGCTGCTTCCCCTCGGAGTGATCCCAGGCCAGGCACCTGCACGGATAGGGACACTAGGCCCCATCAGTACATGGAGAGAATCGCAGTACCCACACCACAGGGCTGCGGGGCTTCAGAAGTTCATAGGTGTAAGACCCTCAGAGCTGTGTGGGCTCAAAGCATGCTGGCTCTCTTTATGGTGATTGTACCATCAGGCAGCCAGTCTGGGTCCTCTGGCCAGTCCTTAACTCGCCATCTCAGCCTCTCCCCTATTGGTCATTATTTGTCCTCCTCCTTTTCTGACACATAACCCTAACCCCAGCCATGCTGGGCTGCATTCTAGTGCCAGCTCAAGCCAGTCTCCCGCCTGTTCTTCACAGTTCAATTCAAAGCCTGCCCTTGCGACCAGACCTTCCAAGGCCCCCTGCACATGTCGGCCTCCCCCTGCACTGTGGGGGTCTGTCTGCCATGGCACTAGTCAGCAGTACTTGCATGGGGGTGGGGAGGGGTCCTGGGCTGTCTTGCTTTGCAGAGGACTTCTGTGTGAACAGCTCTCAGGCAGCTGCTGTGGAAGCACAGGGATGTATAAGGTACTTGCCCTGGGAGCTTCCCAGGAGGTTGGCATCATAAATATCAAGAAAAGGGATGACCCCTGCAGAAAAGTGGTAGATCAGGGATACAGAAGCATGCCTGGGCACCCCCACAGTGTCCGGCTCTTACTGTGAGCTGAAGGTTTTCTGCTGCCTTGTGAATGCCACCTTCTGCCCACCCTGCGTCCCCTGAGCTCCAGGCTGACACCCTGCAGTGGGTGAGCACCCATCACGTGCTCACTGAATGCCCTCGTGGAAGGCCTTTCCACCCACTCTGGCCCATGAGGCAAAGTGAGGCTCTGAACACATGAGCCTTTACTGGGGGCTCTTCACCCACCTACTCTCCCCTGGCCTCCTCAGGAATTGCGCCAGTACCTGTCCAACCTGGCCGACCAGTGCGCCAGCGAGAACACCGCTGTGGACATGCCTCTCGTCATCATCCTGGACAATCTGCATCATGTCAGCTCTCTGGGCGAGATCTTCAATGGGCTGCTCAACTGCAAGGATCGCAAATGGTAAAGGCCAGCTTCGGGCCTCATGGCCCCCAGGACATCGGCTGCCGTGGGACGTGGGCTGCTTGCGAGCTGTGCACTCGCGGGGCAGGGGAGGCAGGCAGCCACGTGCCTGGACACAGCACCCTAGGCCTCTGTGAGCACCTTCCTCTCTGGCTTGGCTTTGACTCCTTCCTTTCTGTCCCCTGCAGCCCCTACATAATCGGCACGATGAACCAGGCCACCTCCTCCACTCCCAACCTGCAGCTTCATCACAACTTCAGGTAAGGGTCACTGTCCAAGTACCTGGTATGTGCATCGTGTTGAGCATTTTTCCCACTTAATCATTTACTTCTTATAATAGCGTCAAGTAGTTAAACTGATCATTCTCAGATTACAAATGGGTAATCTGAGACTGGGAGTTTTAAGTGATTCATGTGAGGTCACACAGCCAGTCAGCGGCAGAGCTAGGACTTGAACCCAACTCTCCTTGTCTCGGGCCTAGGGTAGCAGTGTCCAGGAGGCAGCTCTGGGCAGGGCTGTAGGCATGCTTGCCTCCCCTGCACAAAACCAATGGCACAGCTCCCTGTTCCATGTGACATTGCTTATGAATGTCCCCATGTAGCTGATTTTGTGGGCCCTTAGATTCCAGCTGCTGTGGGCCCTCTGCCCCAGCAGTGCACCCAGTGTATAAGGATGGTCCATCTCTGCTGTGCATGGTCACATGACTGCTTGCCTCACTGGCACTGAGTGCCTTTTGCCTGTCCGGACTCCACCTCTCCTCCTCTCCTGCCCGGGCCCCTGGATGAGGATGAGAAGTGGCCCCCCAGCGTGGGACACTGGTTCATTTCACCAGCTGTTCTGCGGGTAGCTCTCTGAGGAAGATCTCTTGCAAGGGGGCCTGAACTGTAATTATCAGAAAGCCAACTCCTCCAGGCCACTGAGATACTGGCCACTCTGCATCCAGGCTGTCCCTGTCTTTTCCATGCTTTCTCCTAAATAGCCGTCAAGTCCTCCTTTCTCCTTCTTCCCCACTCACTGCCACATTATCTCCAGCACACTGTTGCCATCACTTTCTAACCAGGATGCGTGCAGGCCGTGGGCCCCCTGCAGGCTGTCCTCTGAGCCAGTGGCAGCTGGAGTGAGCATCCTGGAATTCATGTCTGACCACACCGCCCTTCCACTGAACGATCCTTCTGTAGTTCCCCACTGCCTCCAGGGGATGAAGTCAGACTCCTTAGGTTGCCAGGTCAAGTCTGAACTCTGGTTACACTGAACCTCTGGCAGTTTCCCCAAACCTCCCACACTGTGTCATATGCCTCCGCACAGGCTGCAGCGTGCTCTCCATCCCCCACACACTCCCTACTCCTGCCTTTTCTTATGTGGCCACTCCATGCCCCTTCTGGTCTCAGCCCAGACGCCTGCTGAGGAACCTTCTCAGAGTCCCCAAGGATTGTCATGTCTCATTCCTCCGTCTGCTTATCTGCTTCCTCCACTAGACTCTGCTTCCTGGGGAACAGGAACTGTGTCTTAGTCATTGTCCTCACTCCACAGGCCAGCAAGGAGCCCACAGCAAGCTCAAGAGGCAGTGTGCTCAGTGGTTAGAGCTCAGACTCTGGAGCTGAACTGTCTGGGTTCTGATCTTAGCTCTTCTATTAATCTGTGATTTAGTCTTAGACAAGTTACATGACCTGTTTGTGCTTCAGCATTTCTATCTGAGAAATGAGTGTGGTAATAATATCTACATTATAGGTGGCCTAGAGGAATTGGGAGTTAATACGTGTAGTGTTCAGAGCAGTGTTTGGCATGTAATGAGTCTAATTTTAATATTAACATATATACCCACCAATTCTAATGTGCTTTGATTCATGAGGTTTTAGCCATCATTCTTACCATTGTCCTCACTGAAAAGTGTTGATGACTTCCTGTAGGTGGGTGCTTTGTGCCAACCATACTGAGCCCGTGAAGGGTTTTCTTGGCCGATTCCTGAGGCGGAAGCTCATGGAAACAGAGATCAGTGGGCGGGTGCGGAATGTGGAGCTGGTGAAAATCATCGACTGGATTCCCAAGGTCTGGCATCACCTCAACCGCTTCCTGGAGGCTCATAGCTCCTCAGACGTCACCATAGGTAGGCCAGTGGGCAGGCTGGCAGGCTGGGGGCAGGTGTGGCACCTGGAGCTCTGCATCCTCAGATGACTGTTCTCAGGGCCCAGACCAGGGCAGCACTTTGCCGGCCACAGGTCAGCTGGGCAGTGCACTGTCCACATGTGTAAAGAAGTGGGCAGAGGGACAACACAGCCCAAGACAGGCCCTGGCCGCCTGTCGCCCACACCCCAGTGCTGTGATGCAGCCCCTCTCCCCTTCCCTGGGCGCAGGGGGCTGACCAGCAGTGGAGAGCTGTGTCTAGTCCGGACTGATGCAGACATTGCTGGCTCAGTGAAAAGTCCCCACCCCAAGGCTCCCCAAAACCACCCTGTGGGATCGGCTTTACTTTAAAAATAAAACAAATTTTATCAACATTACCAAAGCGTAGGGTTCAGTGAAAAAGATCACTAATCATCCCACCATCCTGACATAAGCATTTTAATTTGAGCTTATTCTTCCTGCCTTGTCCACACATGCAAGTTTTATGTGGCTCATTGTATACATGTGCTGTGTTCTTTGCTTTTCCACTTGTTGTGTCTCATGAGCATTCCGAGTTGCTGCTTGATTTTTATAATCATTTTACAGGCTGCAGAATAATCAAATGTGGGTGTACTATCATTTGCTTAACTGTTTTCAAAGGTCAGAATTAATAATATTACAATGAACATCTTTCTCCCAGCCCTCTCCTTTGGGAGATTGCTTCGGGGAGAAAGGTCCCAAAGTAGAGTTAGGGAGTCCAAGTGTCCTGCTCTATGCCCACCACCCAATAGTTGGAATTTCTGCTGTTGCTCAGAAAACTCAGCATCCCTCCTGTGAGGGATACGCAGACTGTGGCCTCTCCTGACCATCTATTTCATCTCTGACTGATTTTCACTGGTCCCCAGGGCCCCGGCTCTTCCTGTCCTGCCCCATCGATGTGGATGGCTCAAGAGTGTGGTTCACTGACTTGTGGAACTATTCAATCATTCCCTATCTCCTGGAAGCTGTCAGAGAAGGACTCCAGGTGAGAAGCACACTATCTGTTGGCCCTCCTCAAAATTGGGATGGTAGGGAGCTGTACTGGTGACCGAATGAATTGCCTTCATCTCCTCCTTCCAGAATCAGATTGACATGAAGTGACAGCCCCTCCCCTGTGAGGCCATCTGTCTAGACCGTGTAGGACGTACTTGGCTGCAAATCCTGGCTCTCCCACTGTTACCTGTGTGATCTCAGACAAATCGCTTAGCCTCTCTGTGCTATAGTGCCCTTATCTATAGAAGAGAATATAGTCCTTTGCCACAAGAAGTTATTGCAAGGGCTAAATGTAGACAGGGCCAGAAAGTGCTCAGTAGAGTAAGTGCACAAGATGGGAAGCATACATGTGTGTATCACTTCACAGTTTGCAAAGTATTCTCATAGCTGCCCTGCATAGTCCTGGGACTTAGGCAAAAATTTTTTGTCTCCATTTTTCAAAAGGGGAAAATTGAGTCTCAGACAGAGTAAATGACTTGCTCAAAATCATGAAAGTAAAATTCAAAGAATCTGGGATTTGAGCCCAGGCCTCTGGCTTGAATTCTAGGTTCTGAGGCCTCAGGTCCGTGGTGCTCACTGCCTGCCATCAAGACCGCCCACAGGTGACCTTGGGACTCGAGGCTGAAAGTCTCTCTTGCTGTGCAGTGGCTGGAAAACAGTCCTTCACTTCTCATTCAGCCCAGGGTTTAATGCTAGAGGGTTAGATGAAACTGGAGCTTGCGACAGTTTGATTGTTGAGTCTGAAGGCACCCTCAGAGGTGTGTGGGCTTTCAACCCCATACTGAGTAATCAGCGGGCATGGGGCAAGGCTAGGTAGTCCAGGAACCCATTTTGCAGCTGGACTTCTGAGGGCCTCTTTGTTTCCTCTTTCCTGGGCCATGAGAGGCGGCAGAAGCCTTGGAGGGCTCCAGAGAAGGCGCACCAGTGTGCACGTGTGTGGCGATGCCCTGTTAATGGCTTTGGTTAGTTTGTCCTTTCTTTGCATTTGGCTGAATGTGACAAACATTTAACTGCTTGTAACATGTAGAACATCGATGGTCTTCAGAGGCGCTCAAGACAAGAACTCGAGAAGGATGTTACTATGTCTCTGTGACTGGTATTTGCTTGACTGTGGAGCACATATGCTGCCAATTCAAGCCACCGGGTTGAAATATAAGTGTATTGTGAAGGCAGAGAGGAAGTAGCAAGAAATGAGGCGGCCCGGGTCAGTCCAAAGTCATGAGTTAGCAGGTCTAAGGATCGTTAATTGATGGCAGCATTTCTGTTCTACTGAATGTGGCTTTCATTTAAAAAAAGAAAAGAAAAGAAAAGATACAAAGGTATCAGATCTTCACAGTAGAGTCTTGGTAGGTAAATTCACTGGCCTGGGTAAAGGACAGTAATTTAGTCTTTAATCAGATGGATTTGTTAGTATCACCAAGCCAAACAGTCACTCAGTCATTTCTATTTTTCTTGGGCCAATGGAAGCATCTCCCACATGCTGGTCCCTGCAGTCTGATTGCAGAAGCCTCTCTGTGCTCTCCGTTGGGGGCTGCAGTGTGCCCCACACCACTGGGAAATCCAGGCTGCTCCAGAGAAGGAGAGGGAATTACAGGGGCTAGTGCTCTGTTTCCTCCTGTTTCTGCCTCATCTCTCAGCGCTCTCTTGGGCTTTTTCTTTGCTCCAAATGTATCTTCTGATAAGAGACAGGGAGTGGCCTCAGAATGTGCTGAGAAGAACTCATGGCTCTGTTGAATAAAGGCCTCCGCTGGCCAAGGAGGCAGCTGACCAGGCTGGGGGAGACTGTGCTCCAGCCTTGCACTGTGCATCAGCAGCCTTCTTGTTGGGCCTCGCCAAGAATGGACGGTGCCAAGGCCTTGCTCCTTTGGACCTAAACCTCAAAAAAGGCCTTGTAGGCATGGCTATGAAAGTGGGCTCTGAACTTCCCTTCCCATTCTGGACTTGCTCATAAAGGAGCTTTGGGTCTCTTTCCTACCAGGTGCAAGAAGGCAGTAGTTGGAGAGGACTTGGGGATGGAACAGTCCATCTGGGGCAGGGAACAGACATGATACCATCTCCTGAGACTCCACAGTTCAATGTGAGGCAGGAAATATCGTGGCTTCCTTGGACTTTGAGGTCATTTGAAGGACACTCTTTGAAGAATGTAGGAGCAGCCAGAGGAGGCAGCCAAGAGTTAGTATTTTACCAAGTTCCTCAAAAGTGAGCCACCTTGTCCCAAACTTGTGGGTTTGTCATCTGTTGAGCCCAGGAGACCCCATAGAATCTGCTGCTTATGAGGAAACCTGGCATATTCCCCATGCCTCGGGTTGTGAAGGAAAGTTTGCTGACATTTACTGAGGGCCTGCTCCCTTCCAGGCACTGTGTGAGGAGCCTGACAAGCCTGATGCCATTTAGAACATGTAGAACGTCGATGGTCTTCAGAGGCGCTCAAGACAAGAACTCGAGAAGGATGTTACTATGTCTCTGTGACTGGTATTTGCTTGACTGTGGAGCACATATGCTGCCAATTCAAGCTGCCAATAACAGCCCTTTGAACACTGCCTAGATGAGGAGACCAAGGCTCATGGGAGCTTATGACCCGACCCAAGTTCATGTCACAGGGTGTGATGAGCCAGAGGTGGAGCCCAGGTCTATCTGCCTCCTCGGTTACTCCCAGGATCTCAGGCTGTCCTGAGGACCCATGACTCCCAGATGCTTCAGGCAGCTCAGGACAAAGTTATGTTTCATATAGTGGACTTCTACATAAGATTTCATTTAACAGAAGGATTCCTCTCTTTAAAAAACAAAAGGTTTATGATTTCTTACTCTCCTGAGTCCATGAGGGTCCCTACCTTGAGTCCATGCTTACTGTGTGTTGGATACTGTGTGGAGTCCTTTACTCCTTACCTGACCCTTCAAGGTAAGTGTAGAAGCTATAAGGGGCTTACTGTAATACAGAGCAGGCAAGCCTTGGCCAAGGTTATAAGCTAAGAAGAGGTGGAGTCTCCAGAATGGACTCTGGCAAGGGTGCTCATGGTGGCAGGCAACATACTTCCAAAACCCTGCTGCAGTCGGGCCAGACAGCCCCTCCTAGGCACACCCTCGCCTGGAGGATATGTGACATCACCCCTTAGTGGATCCCACATATCTTTGCAAGTGTTGATTCCAGAGTCTTTTCACAGTAGGGTGCTGGGCGTGTGCTCCTGCTTGGGTGTGCACATTCCCTGAGTGTCTACCTTGACGCCTCTGTCCATGATGTACATGTGCTCCTTGCACCCTGCACAGTCAGAGGCTCACAGACGCCCAGGTTTTAGTTCCCAATGCCTTGGCCCTCTGTCCTGACCCAGTGGGCATGCCAGGCTCCTCCCTGCCTTGGGGAAAGTGAGTGTCCCCTGTCTGTCTGTCTACCCAGCTATCTCTGCTGCTTCTCAGAGCTGCCTCAGTGCTCTGCAGTGAGGCCAAGGAGCTTTATGGTATTTCCTTTGCTTGCCACGGTACTTACCCAGCCATTCATCACCTGGACTTGAACATGTCTAGCGGCAAGGGGGAGGCTTGTAAAAATATTTTCTGTTCTTACAGATGATGTTAGCATGTGCCTGATGTACATTTGTCTTATGAGTCAGTCCCCAGTCCTGTTTCCCTTTGCAGTTGTCATTGTAAACACTTGCCAAAGGGTCTAAAGTCTGCAGAGTAACTTGAAAGATCTCTGTCCCCCTGGGGGAGAGCATAGGGCCATTTATCAGATTATCCAACCTGCTTTGAGACCCTGGGCAAGTCTCCCATCCCTAGGCCTCGGGTTCCCCATGCGTAATTTGAAAAGTTTGGTCTAGAAGAGTATTTTCTGTGTTTCTAGCTTTTATGAAGCCCAGAAGTTCTTCAACTTTCCTCAACCCTGGGGTCAGGGGAGAAGAGCAAATACTTGAAAACCCCCTGGGGCAGCTTATCTCTCAGGAGCTGATGAGCTCCAAATTTCAGCCTATGTTATTCTGCAGCCCTGAGCGTCTACTCTTCCAGGCTAGAGGATGGAGACAAGCAGTAGCCGTCAGAAACAAGGGTTTAGCTCAGCCTCACACATGTGAAGCCTGGCTTAGGAAGGCAGCCTGATTCCATAGGGAAAGCCCTTGGAGGGAGAAGCTTCAAAAAACTACAGAAATGTTTCTAATTTGGAATAGCCTACTTCAGTTCTTCACACAACCCTAATGCATGTGTGTTCCCTTGCTGCCTGGCACGTACACCATCATGTGACCGTTTCCTGCTCAGACTCTGAGCTGCCTTTAGAACACCAGGCTGAGTTCTCAGGCCTGAGACTCACCACACTGCCCCAGGTTAAGGAGGATTTAGCAACAGGCCCGACCAGTGTGCTAGACGGGAGGGGTGTTGGCAGCTAAGAAAGTGATGAGATCATTAGAGGTTGGTATGTCTGAATGGAGGAAGGAGGCAACTGATGGGGAGACGCGGCCAGGTCTGTCTGCAGCTCTGGCAGCGGGGGGGTTGGCTTCCCTGACAGAAACCCTATGTACAAGTCAGAGGAGCCTTGGGCAATCATGAGGCAGCTGGAGGGGACAGGAAGCCCAGCCCTGGATGACATGTCCTGTCTCATGCACAGCCTAGTCTGCGTCTCCCTGCTCCGGTTTTGGTTGAGTCATGTAGCTCTTGCTGATACCAAGTGGGTTCAAAGTGGAGTCATTTGGAGGGGTGCAGAGGGAAGAGGCCCAGAGAAGAAAGCTAGGGTCCTAGGTTTAAATCGAGCTCTGCAACCTTTCACAACTGGCTCTTCTCTTTAGGCCCCTGCTTTGCCATCTGGTAAAAGAGGGGCAGCACTTGATGACACCAGCTTCTTCTAGCTGAGGCAGCCTATGACTTGGAAAAACGTGGTTTTGTCAGGTAGAGCTGCACTGTTTAACTGTCCGCACTTTGCCCTCAGTTCTTCACACGTGCTCTTCCCCTATAGGAGCCCTGGGAGGGCAGATGGAGCAAAGAGACAGGCGGGCTGTGTTCCTGATGTGACTTCATTCTAGAGCCCCACTGAAGCCACTGTGGTTCAGGATTCTTTCTTTGCTCTTAGGCCCATGGTCCTCTGAAGCCAGGTACCTTCCAGAGCCACAGACAGCACTGCCCTGGGAGGGCAATCTTGTCTTGGCTGTGAACACGGCCTGTCACAGCTGCTTGGGATTTAGTGGTACATGGAATTGAGCAGATTTGGGTTCCAGTTCTGCTGCCTTTCCTCCCTGAGACTGTCTCCTTATCTGGGAAACTCGGGTAGTAACGCTTCTTGGAATCAACAAGGTGGTTGACCAAGATATTTGCATGTGCTTCTCACAGTCCCTGGCATGTGGTAAGATGTAAGCTGTGGTGGCAAGTGGTAGGAAAGAGGAGATACAGAAAGACTGCCCCCAGCTATGTACTGTGCAGAGCCCTCGCCTGGAGAAAAGTTGCAGCCCAGGTTGCTGTTCTTTAAAGAATGTGTGTATTTCTTGAAAGTGCTAATAAAAGCCACTAAAATAATTGTACCATTATATATCTAAGGCTTAAGAAAACAAGCTTGGAGGCATGATATTGGTCTTAAATTAAGTGATCACTTAATTTTCTGCTGTAAGAGCAGATTCATTATTATGGACAATTTTGAGAAATACATGAGGGAAAAGCCTTTAAAATCCCACTACCCACATGTAGCTTCTGTTAACATCTTGCTGTTTTTGAAAGCGAGCAGTGCCTCTACCTAAGTTCTCTCAGAGTCATACTTACTTCAGGAAATGGGGTTTTATCAAACGGGGGCCATCTGTGACCCCTGCCTGTGGTGTTTAGTCCCAGTACCCTCTCTGCATGGGAAGGATCTTTGGGTGGAAATGCCCAGTGAGATCCTGGACTTGGATCATGTGGGCTGAAAGTCAGCATCTCTTGCCAACTCCACATTCAGTAATGTTGTACTGGTAGTTTGATATTGGCCACAGTGGGAATATTTACACCACAGAGATTGGCAAATGCTTCAAATCAGGTAGGTTTCCCCACCCCCACCTAAAGACCACTTTTCAGATTGAATCATCAAGGTTCAGAGATGAGAATGACCTAGTGAGTCAGTGGCAGAGCTGAGATGTGAACCCAAGTCAGCCTGACCCCAAAGCCTGTGCTTTCAGACCCTGGATGCTGCTTCCCTAAGGCCTTCAGGCAGAGCGCATCAAGCTGTCTGTACCGTGGATGGCTTCCTTAGGATAGAATTCTGGAAGTAGAATTATTCCACCAGGGGAGTTCAGGGGGTTTTTCAGAATGCCACAAAATCAGGGCTATAGAAGAGGTTTCAGCCCACTTTCAGACTGTCCTTTCTTTGCCTGTTTTCAGCTCTATGGCAGGCGGGCCCCCTGGGAGGATCCCGCCAAGTGGGTGATGGACACCTATCCATGGGCAGCCAGCCCACAGCAGCATGAGTGGCCTCCTCTGCTGCAGCTCCGGCCTGAGGATGTCGGCTTTGACGGCTACTCTGTACCTCGGGAGGGGTCCACGAGCAAGCAGATGCCCCCCAGTGATGCTGAAGGAGACCCCCTGGTGAGTTTTCAGCTCCTAGAGCAGCTCAGCACTCACTGAGCAGGAAATACAAAGGCAACTGAGCCCTGGCCTCACTTTGGAAGGATGGACCCAAGCCAAAATTAGGGACATTTTTGCTAATATTTTCTTTCATGGTATTAGTTTTTCATTAAAGCCTTTAACCCTCTGAAGTTTGTCCTGATATAAGGTAAAAGTTTAAGAATTTGATTTTTTCCCACTAAATGTCCCTGTACCTGTTGTCCCTATACCACTCTTTGCCTTCTGATCTGATGCCAGCTTTATCATATGCTATCCCATTGATTTCTCCCACTAGCAGGTGAGCATAGACAGGAGAGGTCTGAAGGCAGGAGGGACTCACGGAGGACAAGGGGGCCTGAATACAGGTGCCATGGCCAGTGAGATGAGTTAAGTCGTTAATACTGCCAGAGTTGTGTATTTACTCTGCCATTGCTAAAGCAGCAACAGCCTTCAAGCAGAACCTGGGCCAACACTACAATTGCAGTACTTTTCTGCCAGTGTGAGACCCATGCATAGTCATGCTGTGAAATTAGACCTAATAAATCAGGAGCCCTATAAAAGAAGGTGGAAGCACATACACCAGACCCTCCCATGGTTAACTGACTATTATCGTACCTTAAATTTAGCCCGGAGCTCCCCTGGTAGCTAAGGCAAAGCTAACACACAGCAGTGAATTTGCAGTCTTTGCATCACCTAATGAAAGAGCATGTTCACAAGAGGTGCAGCAGGATTAAATGACAACTGATTTGCTGTTCAATCCCTAGTGATTAATTGATTTGCTAGATAGAAAATAATAACTGCTTTGGGTTCTCTGAATAAATAATCCTGGCTGCAAAGGCTAGTCCACTGTATTTCAGCTCCACCTCTTCCCTATATGGCTGTGCCGATGGACACCAGCTGATGGTACTTCTGTGACCTGGTTCACCCAGGGAGATTCTACAGGGCGTCCTGAGGGGCAGCAGGCCAGGTAGTAGCTGGATTTCACACCCTGCTGCACTGCATCTAGGCATTAGCTCTGAGACATCAGCTCTTTCTAACTTACTTGCTAGATAAAATATAAAATATACATACCATTTATAGTTAGAAATAAAAGCTTTCAATTTCCTCTCCACTCCTAAACAGATAACCTATAGACTGTAGACCAGGGAAGATTTAAGAACACTGTCTTTAAACGGTTTCTTTAAGTCACGTGATGATGATCATAATAGCATACCATTTATTGAGCATTTACTGTGTACCAGGCTCTATTCTAAGGGTTGAACACACATGTCATTTCATTCTCTTCCTGTGAGCTGGGTGCTGCTGTTCTCTCCCTTCTACAGCTGAGAACTGGTGGCTCACGTGTAAGGTCATTTGCCTGGAGAGTCCCAAATCAGAATCCAGGCCTCTCTGTGCTCTGTGGCTCTGCTTGTAGCTGGTTCTGTCCTGTGCTTCCGGCAGCAGCCTTGGCAGGAGCTGGAGCACAGCTGGCTCTACGTTGCCCTCCAGCCAGACACAGGAGCACAGATGAGCTTGATGCTCATCGAGGGGAGCCACGTGCTTCAAATGTCAGCGGTGCTGATGCAGGTGTTCCAAAAGCAGGGGTGCTTGACGGGCATCCTTACCCAGGCTGAGGGCTATGCTTGTGTAAGGTGTGCTCCTCCCATATGAAAAATAAATACCATATTTATAGAGGACTTTCTACTTTGTTTTCAGTGTTCCACACACATTAACTCAATCCACACCCTAAAGTTATAGGGCAAGTATGATTATTATTCATATGTGACAAGTGAAGAAGCTGAGGCACAAAGTTAAGTAACTTGCCCAAGGTCATTTGCGCAGCTAGGAAGTGGTGGCAACAGCATTTGAGCCCTGCAAGCCTGGCCCAGAGTCCGTGTTCTTGTCCACTGCCTCCACGGTGGGCCATGGTCACAGGGTGAGTCTGGAGAAGGCAGCATGCCCCTCGAAGAGGCCAGAGGCGGGCAGCTGCTCACGCTCTCCGCTCTTTCCCCAGATGAACATGCTGATGAGGCTGCAGGAGGCAGCCAACTACTCCAGCCCCCAGAGCTACGACAGTGACTCCAACAGCAACAGCCATCATGACGACATCCTGGACTCGTCCCTGGAGTCCACTCTGTGATGGGGCCTGCCCACCTCGTCTCCTTGTCCTGCTCTGCCCACACCCTCCACCCCACCCCGAAGATGCCGTCCTGAGCCAGTCCCCGGCTGCAGCTTGAGAGCTGCAGGAACACCAGGACCCTTCCTCCTCCAGCCTTGTCCGGGCTCAGGCACCCTGGGCCGGCCACCTGCAGACCCCTTCCTCCACGGCAAGAACTGCACTGTCTTCCGTTCCCTTCTGATTATTGTTTGCCTTGTTGCTGTGACCTCCCTAAGACACTGAAGATCTGAAGATACTTCTCGGGAAAGGATCATCACTGTTGAAACAAAAAGGGTTAGAAAAAAAAAAAGGAAAAAAAAAACCCCACTTGAAGCTCTGAAACCAAACAGCATCGTGCCATGAGCTGCCCCTGAAACAGTAGAAACTGGACCAAACTTGGAAATAGACAGCACGGCTTCCCGTCAGCACAGACCCTCCAGACTGAGTCTGGCCGCCAGCAGCCCCATCCACGCCGAGCCACCTTCCACCCAGTGGGCCGCGAGAACTGGTGCTAACAACGAGGGCTGCTGCCTCGGTCACACCTGGCGAGGACAGAGCTATGACACAGGGAAACCTTTGGAGAAAACAAACCATGCTTCCTGTTTTGTTTTGTTTTTCTAAATGGTGCTCTCCTTACCCGAGAGGTATTTTGCCCATTCCGATTCAACTACCCCTTTCAGGTCCGTCAACCTCCAATTCATCCGTGAGCGTGAGTGGGGAAGTGAGAATGAGCATGAGTAGATGTGGCCCCAAGCAGACAGCATGGGTCTGTCTCCTTCCGATGTAGAAACACATCAGGTTCTTTTCTGCAAACACTGTGTCCAGTGAGAATTGGGGTCTGTTTTGGAGAACGGATCACCCCTTTGAAAATGAGATCGAGTTTCTCCTTTCTCTTTGGTTTTGAAGATGTTCCTTATCCACCTCTTGGTCAGAATCAGCCCTTTGGTGAAAGAAAGAACTGCAGGAGTTGAGTTTTGGGTTCGGTCCTGCTGAGTTTGGTTTCAGTTGTCCACCCTCGCAGTGCTCCATGCTCACCTCCTGCTGCCGGGCCCAGGGTGTCCTCTGCAGTGGACCAGGACCCCATCCTCCACACGTGGGTGAGCCGGGACCTTGCCTTGCCTTCTCGTCCTCCGGGCTCCAGAGCGCACACCGACACCCAGGCGTGCCGGCCCCAGCCTCAGGTGGGTGGTGAGGTCATCTCGCAGAAGCCTTGCACTTTTCCTCACAACCAGCGTGGCGCATCTCAGCAAGCAGGGGTGCCCACTTCCGGAAGCCCTGCCTCAGCCTCCGTCCAGACAAGTCTTGCCTGACCTCTTCGGTGCTGACCTTCCCAAAGCGATGCCTTACTGATGTGTACTAACCATGTTCCCTTTGGAGTGTCCTGCCTGCCTGGGGTCCGGGTTTTGTTTTGTTTTCCCCGTCAGAGCAAACAGGGCTAAAAAGTCATTTACTCATTAGGAGAACTCAAGTTGCTGTGACTTTTCTCACCCAAAAGACTCATTTGTGTGGTTGTGTGGCCATGGGAAAAAATAAAAAGGGAAAAAAAGATTCATTTTTTTAGGTTTTTATTAGTCTCCAGCTATCACCCTGGCTGGACAATAATACGTCTTGTGCAGAAAAGGCAAAAATTCCAACAAGTGTACGTGACTTTGCTGACCCATGCCCTGTTAGGATGTGTCTTCAACATCCTGGTATTTTCTTTGCAAATTGTGGTAAATCTTTGAGTTGTTTGTTTCTGTTTTATAAAGAGAATCTTTATTGGACCCCAGAAGGGGTCTCTGTTAATAATCAGGGTTTTTTTCCCATCTTTTATGTTTCTATTTCTGAAGGTCCATCCCTCTACATTTATTTTTATTTTCTTGCCATAAGAACTTGACCTGAAACTGCTCACATTACATTGAATGACACCATTTTCCTCCTCCTTGAAAGGAAAAGGGGCCTCTGTCCCACTAACTAACTGGTGAATGGAAAACCTCTCAACACTGTCCCTGCTTTAATCTCAGTAAACTCAGACTCTATTCTGCTGAGCCTGCATTGGTCATCTGGGTGTATGAGTGTATCTTGTTCTCTCTTGTGTTTCATGAAGTTTTTAAACCATATATTTAGCCTGTGGCCATGGGCCACACCCTGAGCCTTCTGGTAAACCTGAAACGTGGTCCTTGTCAATTTATCTCCTGACCATGACCTTACATGCTCATACTGTGAATTGGGAGGAGGTAACATTGACTTCTCCTCATGGGCAATTTTCCCAGTCACCTTGTGAGTAGACACCTAGCCAATATTGTTTGGAACTTTTTTTTTTTTAGTGACACCCTCTGCTCTTCCTCCTCTTCCCTGTCCCACAGGCTTCCCTCCCATAGGGTCCAGGCTCAGAACCAAGACCTCGGTCCCTGGTGCTGCCCGACTAGTGAACAGTGATTTCAGTAGTGTAGCCCTTGTATGATTCACAACTCAGTGTCCTTCCTAAAGCTTCGGGAAGCAGGGTTGTATGATATGCACATTTCCTATTTGGGTCATCTTTTACTTTAGTGTCACTCACCTTTAGCAAAGTGACTTTGTACTCATTTAGGGCTCTGTCTGAAATGCTTTCAGTTTGCCTTTTTCTACAGTTAGGCTAACTTTGAAATGTATGAAATTCTATGCAACACTTACATTGAGTTACCAATGGAAGCCAAACCTTTTCTTCCCCAGCTGCCAAGAATTATACAGGCCATAAATGAGATGGGAATACCTTTTAATTTAAGGTTGGGTTGGGGGGGTGGGTAAGGGTGGGACAAGGAACAAGGCTTGCCTAGACCTTTGTTGTATCTTGGGGACATTTAAAAATTTTATTGTTGATGCTTCAATTTCAAAATTCTGTGTATTCAAATTTGATCATGGCGAATCTATTTCAAAAGACAAAAAATAATCCAGCTTTGTGGATATTAAATGGAAGGTTTGCTGTCTTGATCCAGTTGTTTCCAGTGGAGCAGTTTATGAAATATGTTCTATAAGATGTACATTTTTTCATTGTAACATAAAAATTGTAAATAATTGATTAAAGTGCTGCATTTTGATGAATTTTTTCTAGCCATTTTTAAAGAGAAAACTAGGAATTGAGTATTTTGTGTACGGTATGTTTCCATTGTCCCTCCCCTTCCACCAAACCTCCTTCCCTATTTAATTTTCATTTGTCATGAGGTTCTTTGATTTGCCAATGATCTGCTGGAGATCATGTCCCACGTCATAGAGAATAAAGCTGATGATTGTACCAGTCTTAAATTATTCATGATTCAATAAAATTGATGCTTATTTATTCACATTAGTGGTTTGGCTTTTTTGTGATAGAGCAAGTCCACATTGGAGTTCAATTTCATGCCAAGAGGAAGTCATTCTTACTTGATGTGGCCGACACAGGGAGAGCCAGCCCATTTGCAAATTCATCTGTGCCATTGTGTCATTAACGTCCTACATCTTCTCAGTTTCTTATCTAAGTTATTGCTACTCATCTGGAGCTTATTAGAAATGCAGAACTTAAGGCTTCTCTCAAACTTCGTGAATCACTGGGGATCTTGTGGAAATGCAGATTCTAGTTTAATAGGTCCAGGGTGGAGCCCAAGATACTCAATTTCTAACAAGCTGCTAGGCGATGCTTATGTTCTGAGTCCTAGACCATACTTTTAGTAGCAAGCACTGTCAGTATCCAGCTGGCTCCCAGGTTGACCCCTTGGCACAACGTTTTTTTAATGTATTAAATACCTACTAATTGTAAGATGCTTTCCCAAATGCTCCAATATAATCTACAGAATGACCTGAGGAGGTAAATATTCTTACATTCATTTTACAAGTGGGAAAAAAAGCTTGCCAAGGTTAGAAGAAAGAATAAGGAAGGAGGATTAAAGATGGTGTGAGTTGTGATACAGAGGCTTCCTCCTAAAACTGCATATAATATGAAAATATAATGAATACAACTAATCCTGAAAGTGCAACAGGAAAGAGGGCTGCACCAAACTGCATACACCTGGAGAAAAGCATAAACCTCATGGAACAGGGTAACATACCAAAGCCGTGGCTCAGCAGGACCCAAGCCCTTCCCCCACCCCAGCTCACCCAAGGGAGGAAGAGAAACAGAGCAGGGAGGGAGTGGAGGCCTGGGACTGCTGAATACCTAAGTCCAGAGATCTGCTCTGGGAGCACAAACCTACATTTCATGGTACTCTCAGGATTAGGGGGCTTAGAAAGCTGAGACAGGCAGAATACCTGGAGAGATTGAGATTCCAGCCACTTGTGGAAAGCAGGGATGCATATCCAGCTGCTCTGGGACAAAATAAAGGCAGGTAGTCTGAGAGACTTCCTAATAGCAAGAGGGCTGCTAAACGGGCAAGGAGTACACAGAGCTTACTGCTCAGGAGAAAGGACAGGTAGACAAAATTGTCCAGGTGCACTCTGCCCAGCAGATTGGGAACTCTGTCAATCTTCAGGTGCTCAGGCTCCCTGGCTGGCTACACAGCTTGAAGAACCCCCTCCGTGATACACAGCCTACTGTGCCTTCCTCCTGGCCAGCCCCACCTGGCTCGCAAACTGACAAACTACTCTGGTGTTAGGCCAGCCAGAGGGAAGCCCCATCTACAGTAACTACAAATACAAAGCATAAAGGCTTATACCTGTGTGCTCCACCCACTGGTCCTGGCAGTGAAGGCAGGCATAGCAGCCAGGAAGCAGGAAACAGCTCTTTCCTCCCCCTAGGCACCAATAGAAGAGAGAGAGAGAAAGGGATAGAAAGTGTCTTTGAGGAGGTAATTGCTGAAAACTTCCCCAATCTAGGGAAGGAGGTAGTCTGTGTATGGAGGTGCACAGATCACCCAACACAAGGGACCCAAGGAAGACAACACCAAGACATATAGTAATTAAAATGGCAAAGATCAAGGTTAAGGACAGACTATTAAAAGCAGCCAGAGAAAGAAATAAGATCACATACAAAGGAAAGTCCATCAGGCTATCATCAGACTTCTCAGCAGAAACCTTATAGGCCAGAAGGGAGTGGCATGATGTATTTAATGCAATGAAGCAAAAGGGACTCTAACCAAGAATACTTTATCGGGTAAGATTATCATTTAAATTTGAAGGAGGGATTAAACAATTTCCAGATAAGCAAAAGCTGAGAGGATTTACCTCCCACAAACTGTCTCTACAGTCTATTTTGGAGGGACTGCTATAGATGGAAGTGTTCCTAAGGTTTAATAGCTGTCACCAGAGGTAATAAAACCACAGAAAAGAAAGTAGAAGAGTTAATTACTAAGCAAATGGGAAATAAAATCAACTATCCCCAAAGTCAATCAAGGGATAGACAAAGAGTACAGAATATAATACCTAATATATAAAGAATGGAGGAGGAAGAAAAAGGAGGAGAAAAAAAGAACCTTAGATTGTGATTGTAATAGCATGTTAAGTCAGTTAAGTTAGACTCTTAGATAGTAAGGAAATTAACCTTGAACCTTTGGTAGCCATGAATCTAAAGCCTGCAATAGCAGTAAGTACATACCTATCAATGATCACCCTAAATGTAAATGGACTGAATGCACCAATCAAAAGACACAGAGTCACTGAATGGATAAAAAAAAAGACCTATCTATATGCTGCCTACAAGAGACTCACTTTAAAACCAAAGACATACACAGACTAAAAGTGAAGGGATGGAAAAAGATATTTCATGCAACTAATAAGGAGAAAAAGCAGGAGCTGCAGTACTTGTATCTGTATCAGACAAAATAGACTTCAAAACAAAGAAAGTCACAAGAGACAATGAAGGACATTACATAATGATTAAGGGGTCAATCTAACAAGAAGATATAACCATTATATATCTATGTGCCCAACACAGGAGTACCTACATTTGTGAAACAAATACTAACAGAATTAAAAGGGGAAATAGAAAGCAATGCATTCATTTTAGGAGACTTCAATACTCCACTCACTCCAAAGGACAGATCCACCAGACAGAAAATGAGACAGAAGCACTGAACAGCACATTAGAACAGATGGACCTAACAGACATCTACAGAACTCTACACCCAAAAGCAGCAGAATACACATTCTTCTGAAGTTCACATGGAACATTTTCAAGAATAGGTCATATACTAGGCCACAAAAAGAGCCTCGGTAAATTCAAAAAGATTGAAATTGTACCAACCAGTTTCTCAGACCACAAAGGTATGAAACTAAAAATAAATTATGCAAAGAAAATGAAAAACCCCACAAACACATGGAGGCTTCACAACATGCTTCTAAATAACCAATGGATCAATGAGCAAATAAAAACAGATCAAGCAATATATGGAGACAAATGACAACAATAATTCAACACCGCAAAATCTGTGGGATGCAGCCAAGGCTGTGCTAAGAGGAAAGTATATTACAATATAGGCCTACCTCAGGAAAGAAGAACAATCCCACATGAACACTCTAAACTCACAATTAACAAAACTAAAAAAAGAAGAACAAATGAGGCCCAAAGTCAGTACGAGGAACATAATAAAGATTAGAGCATAAATAAATAAAATCGAGAAGAAAAAACAATAGAATCAATGAAACCAAGAGCTGGTTCTTTGAGAAAATAAACATAATAGATAAACCCATAGCCAGATTTCTTAAGAAAAAAAGAGAGTCTACACACATAAACAGAATCCAAAATGAGAAAGGAAAAATCACTACAGACACCACAGAAATACAAAGAATTATTAGAGAATACTATGAAAAATTATCTGCCAACAAACTGGATAACCTAGAAGAAATGGACAACTTTCTAGAAAAATACAACCTTCGAAGGCTGACCCAGAAAGAAACAGAAAATCTGAACAGACCAATTACCAGCAACAAAATTGAATTGGTAATCAAAAAACTACCTAAGAACAAAACTCCTGGCTTCACCACTGAATTTTATCAAACATTTAGTGAAGACCTAATAACCATCCTCCTTAAAGTTTTCCAAAGAGTAGAAGAAGAGGGGATACTTCCAAACTCATTCTGTGAGGCCAGCATCACTCTAATACCAAGACCAGGCAAAGACACCACAAAAAAAGAAAATTACAGACCAATATCCCTGAATAACATAGATGCAAAAATACTCAACAAAATATTAGCAAACTAAATTCAACAATACATCAAAAAGATCATCCATCATAATCAAGCAGGATTTATTCCAGGGATGCAAGGACGGTATAACATTCGAAAATCCATCAACATCATCCACCATATCAACAAAAAGAAGGACAAAAACCACATGATCATCTCCATAGATGCTGAAAAAGCTTTTGACAAAATTCAACATCCATTCATGATAAAAACTCTCAACAAAACGGGTATAGAGGGCAAGTACCTCAACATAATAAAGGCCATATATGACAAACCCACAGCCAACATCATATTTAACAGTGAGAAGCTGAAAGCTTTTCCTTTAATATCGGGAACAAGACAAGGATGCCCACTCTCCCCACTTCTATTCAACATAGTACTGGAGGTCCAAGCCACATCAATCAGACAACACAAAGGAATAAAAGGCATCCAGATTGGCAAGGAAGAAGTTAAACTGTCCCTGTTTGCAGATGACATATTGTACATGAAAAACCCTAAAGAATCCACCCCAGAACTGCTAGATCTAATATCTGAATTCAGCAAAGTTGTGGGGTACAAAATTAATACACAGAAATCTGTTGCATTCCTATACACTAATGATGAACTAGTAGAAAGAGAAATCAGGAAAACAATTCCATTCACAGTTGCATCAAAAAGAATAAAATACCTAGGAATAAACCTAGCCAAGGAATTTAAAGACCTATGCACTGAAAACTACAAGACACTCATAAGAGAAATTAAAAAAGATACCAATAAATGGAAACACATCCCATGCTCATGGATAGGAAGAATTGATATTGTCAAAATGGCCATCCAGCCTAAAGCAATCTATGGATTCAGTGCAATTCCTATCAGAATACCAAAAGCAAATTGTTTTAAAATTCATATGGAACCACAAAATATCCCGAATAGCCAAAGCAATCCTGAGAAGGAAGAATAAAGCTGGGAGGATTTTGCTCCCCAACTTCAAGCTCTACTACAAAGCCACAGTAATCAAGATAATTTGATACTGGCACAAGAACAGAACTGTAGACCAATGGAACAGACTAGAGAGCCCTGATATAAACCCAACTGTATATGGTCAATTAATATATGATAAAGTAGCCATGGACATACAATGGGGAAATGACAGCCTCTTCAACAACTGGTGTTGGTAAAACTGGACAGCTACATGCAAGAGAATGAAACTGG